ATGGGCTGCTTCACATTCGTCAAACTGATGATGGTCTTGTTCAACTTGCTTATCTTTGTGAGTATATTTCCCCTTTGATTGCATGCTCATATATGATGAGGAGGTGGGGGAGTGTGTGTGCGTGTGTGTGTGTGTGTTTGTGTGTGTGTGTGTGTGTGTGTGTGTGTGTGTGTGTGTGTGTGTGTGTGTGTGTGTGTGTGTGTGTGTGTGTGTGTGTGTGTGTGTGTGTGTGTGTCCACATGAAAAGTAGTGTGTGAAGTTAAATAACAAACAAACAATGCAGAGAAAATCACTCCATCCCGCCCTTCAGTGCAAACAGAGACGTTACATAAACATCTCAGATCAGTGAGCCAGGAGACCTGAGCGACGCTCCTTTCTCTCCACTGCAGCAATTTTCATCTCATTAACTTCAAAGCCTCTAATTTCACCACCTACGTCTTCGGCTTAATGTTGATAACTAATGTGGTTTGTGAAATGGAGAGAAACTTTGGCAGGAGTAAGCTGAATTCGCCCGGCGAGTCGGGTCCACCTGGGCTCCCGCTGTCACAGATGAAGCTCCCAGAGACAAGTCATCATTTTCCTCACATCTCCCATTTCTGCCTGAGTGCTGCCTGCTTGATAAACCCAGTGCGGCGGCTCTAAAAGTCGCAGCAGCACATTGACTACGATGTCCCCTTTGAAATGTTGACCAGCAGAGCAGAATGATGGTGAAATGATTCTTTTCAGATCATAAAGATGACGCTTTAATGCGACCATTCAAATGTTTGGGCCACTGCAGCTGCAGTTCAAGTCATCTCCTCCTCAGCAGAGGACACAGCTCCAGTGGAGACAAGTCGTAAATTCCAAAACTTGATTCTTGTATATCAATAATGTTATGGTTTTTCTTTGCTAAACAGCACTAGGTCAAAACCTAGTACATGTCTGGACCACCTATGGTCAAATCCTGAAGCCTCTCTCTCTGTTCCTCCCTCTCTCCTGCTCTCTCTGCTAGGTGTGTCTTATGTTTAGTTATTCCTCTGCCTCCTTTACTAATAAAGATGATACATGTAATGAAAGTTGTTCATTTGCTGTAATGGAGGCAAGGCTCAGTGTATTGGAAGAGCTCCTCCGTGCAGTTCCAGAGCAACCGGGAAATCAGAGCGGCTCGGTAGACTGTGGCCCGGCACTCCCCTGACCAGTGCTGGAAGTATCATCACTCAGTCAGTCAGTCAGTCAGTCAGGCAGTCAGTCAGGCAGTCAGTGACATTTGAGGTTGTATATAATCATATGTAGCTTTGTGAAGAAAAAATATATTTTCTCACAGCACTGATTCAATACAGGACGCAGCCTTTTATTTTTAAATACAGGATGATTCCATATCATACAGGACGGGTGGCAACCCTTACTGTGATGCTATAGAGTGCTATAGGGTGCTGCAGGATACAAATACCTGGCCTCTGGTACCACAGTCATACTATGTGATTTTAGACTAAAAAGTTTGTTTCCTGGACAAAATCTAACAATCATGAGAGAAATGTGTTGAAGTCTTTGGCTGTCAATCAAAAGCAGTGGTTGTAGATTGTTGGGCACTAAAGGTTCAAACTGGTGCCCCAAACCACGAGGAGCAAGGGTTGCAATGAGTTATTTGATTTATTTATAGTGAATGTTGATTACTTGCTGTGGTTCTAAGTAACAAAGGAGAAAAACATTAAAAAATCTGCCCCACAAATCCAAAATCTAGCCTTTAAATCATAAATGCCTCAAATAATAATTAGTCTTACTTCAGCAATTAACAAATAGATATAAGGTGGGCGGAGGTACTTCCACAGGTGTGTGCCCCCTTGTGGATAGAAGGGAATATGACTGCCGTTTCTAACATAGATCACACAGTGAGACATGTCCACTGACGGCCAACCAAACAAGCTCCTACAGAGTCTGAAAATCAAAACCAAATCCTTACCGTGTGACTGCTCCTACAGCCCACAAACCAACCAATCAAAACACGTCATGAAATATTGCAGAAGACGCAAGCTATCTCTCATATTTCATGCTAGTGTCAAGTAAGTATCTGATTGAAATAAGGACAAAATAAAGCAGAAAACAGTGTCTGAAAAAAGCCATTTTGTGAGGGAATTTTCTCTTGTCCACCTAATGAATGACTGACTCAGGGTGAAAGGTCAGTGTGAGGCCTGAGGTCACTGTGCCACAGCTACTGCACTAAATCTTACAAGCCTTGAGACACTGAGGCGGCTCCTCCAGACAAAGCTGTGGTTTGCTGCTGATACTGATGGTGCCAGGGCTGATAACAGCAGACCTTGGATGGTCAGTAACAAGTGGCTGGGTGTTCTAAGAATCAGCACTTGGGCGTGTATGGTCATGTTTCCTTGTTTATGGTTAATGAACCAATAGTGTAGTCACACATCCCCCTTCTCCCTCTTCTTCTAGATATTTGACCAATTATGGAGTGTAAAGCTTTCTATAGTAATCTCTATAAGTGTATAGAGACTATTCCCAGGGGTTTCTGCTTCAGAATTGAGGTGACATCATGCACAGAAGCCTGTATTGATGAATCCTCCTTTCTCCTCGATCAAGCATCAATAAACATCCTCAGCATAAGACATCCTGGACTCTAGCGCTCTTTCTTCACCACCGTTGATAAGAATTTCCCTAACACATTTGAAACATCCACTGTTGTAATAACTGTTATTATTATTGAGAAATGATTTTAAAGTGATAATCAAGATCAACAAGGAGGACCCACTAGGACCTGTAGTTTTCAAAAATAGAACGGTAGCCTGTTATGTTAGCTGCAAGTGTAGTCTATGTGACTCCTCCGCTGTGAGACTGTGACTTGGACCCGCTCTAAATGCATTGGAAATTAGGAGTGTCTCCATGTACGCTGTGTGTGCAGATCCACGGTCGAGTGTTGGGACTTAATCAGATTGTCTGCTCACGGTAATATGACCCATGAAGATGGGTTTTATACTCAACTGATGTCTTTCTCATTCCTGGCCTTTCAAAGAGAACCAATTCCATTTCAATTGGGGTGGGATGGGCCCGTTCTCCTTCCTACTCCCTTGGTATCTTTCTATCTCTTCTCTCCATTCACCTCCCCCTCTCTGGAGGCCGTGGCCTCCCATTCTGCAGTCTGTTATTCATTCCCTCTCCTCTGACCCTAATAGGCTATATTTCCCATCTCCATAGATAGGACACTGCTTCTCCCCCCACCCCCCTTTCAAAAAACCTGATTTACTTCCAGTCCTTTTGCCACGTGGGTGTTCGACTGACAGGGCATCCACCTGCACATGGCACGCCAACATCAAAGGGATTAGCTATCTTCCAAAAAAAAAGAAGACAGCGTGTCAGCTATAATTATACCTGGTGAGGGATGATGGTGGCAGACATGGAGTTAGAAGGGGAATATGCTTGTCGTATTGCATTTAGCTAACGGTGCAATGATGGCACTGAACAGGTTCAAGAGACGAAAAGAGAACCCCCAGAATGAAAGGAGGGGATAGACAGAAAGAATGACGCAGAGGGTAAAAATAGATACAAGAGCAGGAAGGAGACAAAGAAAAGAAGGGGGGGATGATTCCCACATGGGAGACGTCAGCCTCTGACAGGAGGTGTGGGGTGTCAGTGCCTGATGGAGAGTGTGTGTGTGTGTGTGCTGTGTGGGGGGGGGGCGTGGTTGGGGGGACTGCAGTGACTCTGATGGAGTCTGACAGACAATATCAGGTTTCAAACATGGTTTCTGCAGAGAAGGAGGAAAGAAGAAGAAATCACTCAGTGAGAGGAGAACTGTGGGGTGAAATACACAGAGGGGAGGAGGGAGGATAAAAGGGTGGAAAAAAAAGAGGAAGAGAAGGTCAGAGGTGGAGGCATGAGGAGGGAGAGGCAGGCAGAGAGAGTGAAAAGAGCATGACAGTGGGATCAAGTCATTTCCAGTCTGTAATGTGAAACATGTGACACAGTTCTGTGATTTGTTTGCTATGAGCAGGTTTTACCAGTTTTAAACCACCAAATTTCAGTGAATGCACTTCAGTGTCTCCTAATGAAATGACTGCCTGCTCAGCTTTTTGTTGGACATGGACAGAGACCAATAAAAGATGAGAGGAAGCAAGTTTAACTACGATAAATTCTCAAATTGTGGCCTTTAAAATGTTTATATTCTACCTTCCTTATTAACATTATTCCTAATATCTCATTCCTGACAACATTTGAAGTTGTTATTATCTGCTCCTTTTCAAAGTTGCTGTTTATGCCGTTTGCTGTTGAGGCAAACTTAAACTTTGTCGTCTTTTCAATCAGTGTTAAGCTGCTGTCATAGGAGCTAGGGCTGTGCAATTAATCAAATTTCATTTTCAATTACAATTTTGGCCTCTAATTATAAAAACAAGAAAATTGAGAGAAAACTTTTATTGTGCGGCGTTCTGTTTTGCAACAAATTTCATCCCCCCTACAAAAACCATCTGACGTTATCGGTTCCGCTCTCGGTACTGAAGGAAAATAGATTTCGTATTTGTCATTGCAACATAAAAGTTCGCTTTCACATTCACCAACTCCGTTTCTGATGAAGACATTCGTCTATGATGCATTTTGGCATCTCTCTCTGACCCTGTGTGTGAGGGGCAGTGCAGCGCTCTCACACACCTTGGAGCACCGTGCACCACACAGACACACAAACACACACACACACACACACACACACACACACACACACAGACCCTGCTCTTAGTGACAACGGAGACAACTAAACGTTTTGAAGTGTGGTTCAGGCTTTTTCATGCAAGGAAACACGAGCAACCTATCTTTAACTTATATTGTGTATAACAGGAATAGCAACATAGACACAGCGCTTTTTGTTTTGAAATCATTTTTTTTATGTCCAAAGTCAATGAGAAATCAAGCTGAATAATCGTGATCTCAATATTGATCAAGATAATCATGATTATGATTTTTGCCATAATCGAGTAGCCCTAATAGGAGCTCAGCAGTTCCTGTAAAGACATTTCACATTAAAAGTGAAAAGAGTGGCTCAAAAGGCAAACTCCTTTCCTTTGCTGGAAGGTATTTTAATGCGAAACATCAGCAGGAAGTGCAGGGTCATTGACAGCAGTTAAACACTGCTTGAAAGTAGAGATGACTTAAGATGAATTAATTTAGATACAAAACAGTGAAACCCAGTGTGAAATACAGGATTACTGCCAACTAGAAGTGTCTCCATGTATGCTGTGTGTGCAGATTCACAGTCGAGTTTTGGGAGTGTTGGTAATATGACCCATGAAGAGGGGTTCCATACTCAACTGATGTCTTTCTCATTACAAGCCTTTCAAAAAGAACCAATTCCATTTCCATTGGGGTGGGACGGACCCGTTCTCTTTTCTATTCCCTACTGTCCTCATGCTCTAATTATTTCCATTATTTTCTACTTTTTTTCAACCATTGTGAAGCTGCTATCACAGGAGCTTAACATTTCCTGAAAAATCCTTCCCTTTCCTGAGAGTTGTTTTAATGTGAAACATCACCAGGAAGTCCAAGCTCACTGACAGCAGATTAACACCGCTTGAAAAAACTACAAAGTAGAAGTGACTGTAATGTATGAATTTAGAGCAAAACCTGACAATTAGATCCAATAACAGGAATGCAGATACATTTACAGGACAATGTGAGGTTTGTATTTAATAAACAACAACGGTGTCCTTCTGTCAGGAGACCAAAACTGCTGACAAAGCTTGTTTCTTTTTGTGTCCTGGGATAAGACTAAAAGCAGGAATACAGGAATGATTGGCTTGGTTTAGTCATGATTTGGGTGTCACGACTGACCAGAACAAGTTGGACCAAGTCCTGTCTAGTCTGGATCAGTTGGTGTTAATAGGTCAGTCAGTTCGTCTCAAACTGGGTAGACACTGTACAAATTAATTTGAAATTGGTCATTGGTCATTGGTCAGAATAATTTTAGAAACTGGCTGAATTTCAGCCACATTGGTCATTAGAGGTTCAGTTCGACGGTGGATAGTGACGCCTGACGCCTTGCTGTTGGGCAATCTGATGGTTTTCTCTAATAATGGGTGTCTGTCTGGAGTTTGCTTAGTTCCATGATTCTACTTCCCTGTAGAGAGTTTGTTTTAATATTATTGGAGTTTTATTCTAAATGCTGTGGATGGTAGTCTTAAAACTTTATTGGAAATGTCAATGGACAAAACAGATAGGGGGCTCTGTTTTTTATGGAGGTATATTTGTCTTAAAATTATTTGTGTGAACAGATCCACAATCTGTGTGTTAAATGTGTAATCTAAAAAATAAAACACCTTCCACAAATACAAACAATAAAAAACATATTGGAAATATAAAACAGATCTGCAAATACAGAAAAAAATAAAACAACAACAAAATAAAAGAAACAAATCTGTGAATATGTTAATTCAATTTAAAAATAAATGCAAAGTACTTATCTTCCTAACATTAACAACTTTTACACAGGCATTTGTGAATCACTTTTCAATTCTTGGATCTCAATTCTACACTTGTGGATTAGCATTTTACACACACAAAGTTTTGAGACAAACTTTCCTCCAATTTCTGAACAATAATTCACTTGTGTCACTCAGCCACTTTGTGCTCTTAATTAGAAAAGGGGAAATGGCATCGTCAGCAGGCGATCACATATTTTCACAAAGTCTTAGATGAGCCGTTGTTTTCCTCAAATAATCAGCAACAAGTAACGTTCACTATCCATCCTCATAGGTTTTACATTCCGCTGTTGATGAGTCCAATCAGAGTATAAAAGCTGTAGAAAAATCTGTTTAGAACTTGTATTTTGAGTTGATGTATTGCACCAAATTATCAAAGACTGCAGTGTCTCAGTTTCACTCTGTCCTTCCGTTGCAGAATTCACTGGTTTTCTTTCATCTTTATCCACCATTTCATCCAAATTTAGCAGTTTCAACAAATTCCAACATAAAACCAAAAACTGTTTTTCATAAATTCCCTTTACTGGTTTCAAGAATTTGTGTTATCTCAAGATTCACCAGGATGTGACTAACAGTCAGTGTACAGAGGGGTGTTCAGTCCTTGTTGTCATCGAGTTCCCATCTTAAACTTGCCAAATCTAGTTGCACAGCTGAAAAAGCTAAAATTCTTCTTTGGTGTTCAGTAAGTTTCTCTCCTCTTCACTATCTGTGCTATAATCTCTTAACCTATGTCCATGGACTCCCAGGCTGACTTTATCCACCGTCACAAGATGATAACTAAATGGATTTCTGTCCATTATGCCTGTGTGACACGAGTGGAGAGATAAAGGTGGTCAAGGAAAAGGGCAGTCGTTTCTTTCAGAGAGGTAAGAGGAGGCTGAGTTGTTGCTTTGCTCCGATACATAATGGGAAGCCTGAGGCAGCAGCTCTCTGAATCTCACAAAAGAAATCCTCCTCTCTGAATGGACAGAAGGACATTGAAGTGTCATGGTGTCACTAAGAGGTAATAGTAAGACAGAGTTAGTGATGTAAGACGCCTGCTCATTTCCAAAACCTATTACCCCCTCAAGAGCTGTTGATTTGACCCCAACCAAATGACTGCCAGGCAAACAAATGATTGACATTTTACTCGCCATTGTTAAGTGTGGATTACATCTTCAGGAAAGCTAACGGCTCAGTGTTCCACTTTCAGAAATAACAATGATTTGTATGCTGATCCTGTTTTCCTGGTTCCTCCTGCAGCTGGGGGGCCTGACCCTGCTGGCCATGGGGATCTGGGTGAGCGTGGACGGGAGCTCCTTCTTGAAGCTGCTGGGGCCTTTTGCTAGCCAAAGTATGCAGTTCGTCAACGTGGGCTTTTTCTGCATCACCATTGGGGTCATGTTGGTGCTGCTGGGGCTCCTGGGCTGCTGTGGGGCCCACAAGGAGAGCAAATGTCTGCTGCTCACGGTTGGTGCATCACACCTAATTTATCTCATATCCATACAAGTGCGGATGTAAGCTGAAGGTGTAGTGTAGGTTTGCTTCACCAATGTGCCCAAGGTAGAAAGATAGCACTTTTCTCTAAACCTGGTGCCGTTGCCTGGATACTAATATTTTAGTATCCAGTTTTCTGGCAGCTGTTGTATGATAAAGCTGCTTTGTAGAGTTCTGGGAACTCCGGAACAGAAGGAATAAGATTTTCATCCATTACTTTAAGGTAATGTCACTGACAGCTTTCATCTCATTGGTTGTTCATACAAGGAAACGTGAATTGGCTTTTCCCAAAATGTTGAAGATTTATATTATCAGTCAAGAAGCCCCCGAGTGAGGCTTCATTTTATGAGTCAAATCTGACATGGGTCATTGTATGTAAACAAATGCAGGATGATAGGATCGCAAACTTTCCAAAGTTATGTCAAAACCAACTCGGTTGTGATGCTATCTGTCCACACCTTCCAAAGTCCTCAAAACCGCACCGCCTCAGTTGCAGTTCCCGTTACAGTCAGTGGTCAGGTATCCAACCAGCAGTCTGAGGTGCTTCTACTTGAAGCGAAAAAAGTGTTTACATATTGCAAAATATTACTTTGTCGAATAGTCTGAAAAACCACCTCATGCGAGTGTATGAATTTTTCCCAGTTTTTAAGTTCGCAATTTTGAACTGCAAATTAAGCAGGTGAATGCAAACGCTGCTAGTGTCTACATTTTTTTTGACATCTGTCAATTTGAACGGTCACACAGACAAACTCAGTGCAAAAATAGCATGTCAGCTAGCTGTTGGTGAAAACAAGAGACGCAACATCATATTGAAAACAATAACAAATGAACTGAAATCAGCTTGAGATGGACTTCAGAGCTTTACTGGTCCATATTTTCAAAACAATGAATCAAATGACTGTGTGTCTGCAGCTCTACTGAGCTTTTGAGCCTCTTTTAGCTCCTGTTTTGTTTATGTGGCACATTTACACCAGTACCAGTACCAGTGTACACTACCTGCTCAGCGCCAAATAGCAGACATGACCATGTTACACTGTGTCTGCTGGGTGGTTATAGAGGAGGAAAATCAGCCAGTAGAGAGATCGTTCAGTCATTTACTCGTCTATTGTGTCTCATTGCCCTTAAACTGAGTCAAACCACTGACATTATTATGTAAAACACTACTAATTATTGTTCATAGGTTCATAAGGTGCTTTTTACACCCAACTGCTCCACATTCAGCATCTCACCCATCCTTGCATTTACATCCTGCTCATCAACATCCCAGCTAATATCCACATCCGCCCCTCCTGCCTCATCCACATCAGTATCGCCACCCTCCCTCAAATAGCAAAGTGTACATTATTATACTCATTAACGACAGGTCTAACTACCTCTTAGTCCACCGCAGTGAGTCTAATGAGGAGCAGAGGCAGTACATTTCCCCCTGCAGAGCCCCCATCACATCCACATCTCCCATTGAGCTGAATGATGAAGGTGCGCCAGGATGCAGCGCACATCAGCCTCACCATGAGAGACGGCTGGAACAGACTAAGTGAAAAGAATGGACGAGTTGATAGAATGGATCACTGTCTCTCCTTATTGTCTGGCTCTGTAATCAATCAAGCTTTATAAAACAATAATTGTGTAAAGGGCCACAGATATTCAGACATGCTGATGATTACAAACATCAGAATATTTTATGGTGCTTTACCACAGAAAATACAAACACTTATTGTATTTGAGATTTTTGTTATTTTCAATCAATTCTAGGGCTGAAACGAATTGTTTTTTCAGATTTTGCGTTTGATTAATAATTATTTTATCGTTATTATTATCTTATTGCTTATTTTACTGATTTTTTTCAATGAATGGATTGATGGTTTAGTTTAAATCCCAGTCCAAAACCCAAGAAGAGAGGAGGCTCTGAGCCTCTCTTCTGATTGGTTGACTGTTTTCTGAGTAGTCCAACAAAAATAAAGCAGATTTCAGGTAAACACTCAGAGAAATCAAATCCTGCAAGGTTGGATGGTGGGTCCAGGTGGGTGGGCTTTCGGGCATGGCTGAGAGTGGTGGCTGCTTTGTTGTGACATCACAAAGTTACAGAAGTCCTGACGGCTGGTTTTAAGGCCCAGTTTCTGAATACAGGCTGTGTGTATTTCTCTGTGGACTGAGCGCTTTGATACTTTCACAGTATTAATATAGAACCTAGACCTGCTTTATAATCAAACAACACATGGATATCTACCTTTATACTATATGGAGCTTTAAAAGCTGTGGGCAAACACTGAAGTCATGAGTTCACATCCTTACACAATTCTGACCAGATAACATTAAAACCTAAAGTCAAGTTTTTTAAAAAGATTTTCTTACTCAGTTGTACAGTTATATCACGTGACGTTTATTGCCAAACATGAAAGAAAAAGTGATGGTTAATGTTATATTATAGTAGAATGTAATTCCAGTTTTCTGCTAATATTTTTCTATCAGAGATAATTATCTGGGAACATGTTAACATTGCTAAAAATAAACATTGGGCGGGTGTCAAATTTAGTTATCGATACCAAACATTGGTTGGCTCCAGCTCTGTTTTGTTTTATGTCTTTGTATTAAATGTGTTTTTTGGGTTTTGGAAAGTTGGAATGACAATAAGGAATTTAAAGATGTCACCTTGGGCTCTGGGATGAGTATATTTCAAAATTTCATCATTTTATAGACAAAATGAATAATTGATTACATACTAATGACAATGACTGTTAGTTGCGGAACTAAAGTTATTGCATATGATAAGGTAAGATAATAAAACCCCAGCTGCAACAAAATGGATTTTTATTTGTTTAATTGTGAGTTTGCTGTCTGCTCTTCTTCCCTCCATGCAGTTCTTCTCCATCATCCTCATCATATTCATTGCTGAAGTGGCAGCGGCAGTCGTGGCTCTGGCCTACTCTTCATTTGTAAGTTCCCCCACTTCACCTCTTCCTCTTTTTTTCCCCACTTCCATTCACATCCTTACGACATCCTCTTCCTCCACTCCTCCCCTTCACTCCCTTTTCCTTTGTCTCTTTAATTCTCCTCATACCTCTCTGTTGTTCTCCCTCACCCCCTCACCTCCTCGTCCCACTTTCTGGATTTTATCTCCATGTAAATTCTCCATCATAGCCGCGGCCATCATTGAATTACTGGCTTTATGTCCGCCTCACTACATTCGGCTACTTAATGACTGCGGGATAGCCCGGGGCTGTGTGCGCTGTCTCTCACTTTGAGCAATTTATTACTCTGGAATATTGAAGCTAAAGCATTTTATATGCAAAACAGCCTATTTACATATATGTCCCCCTCTCACTCTCTCTCACACACACATACACACACACATACACACACACACACACACACACACACACACACACACACACACAGATGCTCCATTTCCACTTAGTCCCTCGTATAATAATTACAAGGATTTCAAATGAGCTACGTAAAAGGAGTTTAGTGAGGACTGGGATCCTAATAAAGAAAATAGAAAGTGGAGTTTTTTTATCCAATCAGACGATGTATCTGAGAGAGGTAATCTAACACACGTCCATCTACAGGGAGGAGCTGATGCACTGCTTGGGAATTTCGTTTGAGTTTCATTTTCAGTTTGCACTTCTGTTGTTGCTAAAGCAGTTTGGGCGGCAGCTGCTCTGCAAAAAATATCAGAAAAACAGCTGAAGTGGTCGAATGTTCCAACGCCTAAAACGATCTTTGTTTACATTTCGCTGACAAGTGACATCTTGTGGCCGTGTGAGTAATGACTGCTGCTGCGTTGTTGTAGCTTCACACACACATCATTGCAGATTTAAAGGAGCTATTTGTAAGTTTTGCTATTGTTACATAACTAGCATTAGCATTACCAGCCATTTTCTGGGCAGCTGTGGCCAGCTCCTCCAGGCTGCATGTCCAAGTGTCTTTGGGCAAGATACTGAACCTCACATTGACCCTGATGTGCTGTTCCATCAGTGTAGGAGTGTGATGTATGAATGTATGAGTGAATGGGTGAATGTGGCAAGTTTTGTAAAGCGCTATATAAGTGCTAGTCCATTTACCATTTACCATTCTTAACAATGTAAAAGAAACATTATTAGTTCGGGATCAAACTTCATTCCTTTACTCACCAACAGCTGTTTCCAGAGGTGGAAAGCAACACCAACGTTAACTCTTGCCCCATCACATCTTTTCTTCTACTGAAGTTAGCATGCTAACCAGCTATCCCGGACACGTCTCGTCACTTTCTGATAGCGACTCACTCAGAGGACGTATGATAACCTCTTGTCTTGTAAACACAATGATTGATGAAGCTATTGTCAAGCGATAATCACCACTACTGCTCAAGAAACCACGTTCAGCTGTAGAGAAAACTTACAAATAGCTTGTTTAAGTGCATCAGCTCATCAGGATAAACCATTTTCATTTATCCCAATTGATGCAATTTTACAATTTCCTGTCCCCTGACTACTTCTTCTGCCTGTGCGATGCCTATGTAATGTGGCTGTGTGTGTGTGCTGCGTTTCAAAGGTAGGTCTGCTGATGTTAAAGTCCGTCAACAAATGTTGGCAGGTATTTTATTTTATTTGTTTATTTCATAAGAACAGCGCACATTAATGAACATGAGTATAAAATAAAAGATGTAAACGTACCGGATTGTAGCATGAATGCTAATTTACATCTTTAGTCCCAAGGTAAGGTAACATAAAACAAGAAGTACCAATGTATAAATATACAGTACACAAGTAGAAAGATGTGTATAGTATATCAATAGGGTACTAATGAATATGTGCTGTATGTGTGTGTTTTGTGTGTCCAGAGGGAGCTGTGTGAAGTCTGATAAATGCCCTCAAGTGATGTCAAGCTACATTAGCCACTGCTGGGAAAACACACACAGATCTTCACCCAAGTTGATGGTGTTGAGTTGTGGAAGAAGAATAGTTGGAGTGATAAAAGAAAAGAGGTCTGGTTCTGCTCCATCAGTTTGTCCATCATGAGTCTGACACAGACCTCCTTTAAGAGAGGAGGTCTATGTGGACACCTGACCAAGCTTGACCAAATTTTAATCATAGTGGTGGCCGTTAAAGAATCATTTTGTAATGGTTATATGCATTTTGGAGCAACGGTGTCCCATGGACTGGCGGACTATATGAGTTGGTCATTTTGGAAGGTAAAGATTTTATCATTTAATTTGAAAGACGTCTTTAAAATCTTATTTTCTTAATCAGGAGCCCTTCAATATTTCAGCCATTTTCACAAGGAATATCATCTTGCCTCAACTGCTCAGAGCAAGATTCCTGGCTGGAGTCTGTGGGAGCTACGTGCAAATCATTTCCATTTGTCTGAAGCTAATAGAAAGTTTTATTACCTCATGATCTGTTCTGATCAACAGGAGAAAAACTTATGCAAACAGTCGTTGGATTACTAAAGGTCAAACAACATTTTGAGACAGACTTTGTAGTTGAACATAACTGCAGCACAAGCAGCAGAGTCGACTTCACTCATAAAGGTCAAAGTTCAAAGAAGTGAATGTGGTTTGTGATGGATTTATTCCATTGATACGAGGTTAAAAGATTTTTACTGCATTCTGAGATTTTTTGTTTACAACTCAACATAATTTTTTTTGCATTTTTCAGGTTTGCTCTAACTTTCCTGTGAATTCTGGTCATGTCCAATCTGGAGTGTGCCTGCTCTCACACAAAGAAGCTGAGAGAGTGTGAGTGTGTGTGTGTGTGTGTGTGTGTGTGTGTGTGTGTGTGTGTGTGTGTTGTCCTGTGTTTGTGTGTGAGTGTGTCCTTGAAGGCAGAGCTGTGTTCGCTGCTGCTGCTCAGGCAGTTTTGTTGAAATAAATCTGCCCCATTTCTCACTTGTCATTTACAAAAGCCAAGATAACCAAGGCAGACGATGTAAACGGCATCTGGTGGGAGGCGAATCGACAACAGGAGAGCACGCTGGTGTATGAGGAGGAGGAGAGGGAGGTGTGAGCTATTGTCTAAAGCTCAATGAAATGCGAGACATAACTCATAGATTTGTCTTCCTTAAGGAGATCACAGATATGGTTTAGAGCCAATTTAACGCACTGTTTGCTAGCTTTAGAATCATCTGTTCATTACAAACACAAAGGACATGGTCAGGATATAAGCGCGCAAGAGCAGCTGTCCATCTCCTGCTTTTGATAAGACACAGTAAACACAATAGCATCAGAATAATGAATATGGGCAATATACATCTAATATGCATATATATGGCCACCCGTGTCAATAAGTAAGAGACCGAGGCGGAGACAATGAAAGGAGACAATAAATAAAGTGTTGATCTATTCTGCTCTACTTATCTGTGGCATAAATCTGCCTTTTGGCCGCCGGGCCCCCGCAGCTCATCTAACCCAAGAGCCAATAACCTTCAGGTGGTCGGAATAACTGAGATTTAATAAGCAATTCCAGCAGGCATTATGAGAGGCCGTCAGTGGTCATGGTTGTTCTTCCCCCCCCCACCCCCGAAGTGATTCGGAAGTGACCAAGGTGGAGATTTATTACCGGGGCTGATATGGACTTCACAGTGGATTAATGAAATAGATGTGATGTGGCGTTTAATGAATCATCCTGACGTCCGGGTGCAGTGAAGGAATGTGTTCTCAAAACGTAATCCAATACAGATTACTGTAGAAGGAAGAGGGAAGATTAGCTGCAGTTAGTCATGTAAGATGATCAACTACAATTACTTCAAAGCTTTAAGGCTCCACTAATCAATATCTGTGCATCAACAATCAGCTCATTGTTTTCTTTTTACTTCATTGTTCTGGTTTGGTCTCAGTGTTTCCAGCAGCAGCTCTCATGAACCCTCTGTGCACTAACCTACCCAGCACCAGACAGCAGCTGTGAAGCAGAGCAGATGTGATTAGTCACTAGCTGGTGAACATGGTGGAACATTTAGCAGCTAAAGAGCCAGATGTTCTGTAACAAGTGTGAATAATAGACTTAGACTCATCAGGTTGACACAAAAACAAACAAACAAACACCAAATGAACACTAGTGTGGCTGATCTGAAAACAGACGACTCGTGGTCGTATCCCTCCGCCACTCAGACTGGTTTCAGGTCACATCCCAGTTTCTCTAGAGTCATAAAATATGAACCATTTGTGTGAAATTTTGTCATAGTGGCTGTGTGAAGTCTTGAGTAATGGATAATAAGTGTTTTGTGAGTTAACCGTGACGCTGACCTTTGACCTTTAGCCACCATGATCTAATCAGTTTACCAAATTTGAAGAAATTCCCTCAAGGTGTAACACAGATATTGTGTTCACAAAGCCAAAACCATAAAGGCTCTTTCTTGAACTGATGCTGAGCTCTGTAACTTGAACCCAACAATAAAACATGAGGAGCACAAACTGGAACTTTGTTAATGGTAAATGATGCAGAAGCAGATAGATGAAATTTTTTATTTATCACCGCTTGTTGCATTTTTTTTTTATTTCTGATATTTCCACTCAGTTTTTGTCTTTTCAAACTGTATTTAAGAGCCTATGAACACGCCATGAAGCATTCTCCCTTTTGTATGGCAAAGGTTTTTATTCATTGTTTTCCCTCTGACGGAACAATAACCAATTAGTAGCCGACGAGTTGCTGCAATACGAGACATCGATAATTATTTGAGTAAACAGGAATATACAAGGAAGCAACAAGAGATCAATAACATGGAGCTGAAGATTTTATCATGTGTGTAGAAGGTGTTCACTCCGCTGTATTGATAGATGTCTTATCGCCTCACTCTGCTGTGTGCTTCTACACACAGTGTGTGTGTGTGTGTGTGAGCGTCCATATCAGTGTGTAAGTGTGTGTGTGTGTGTGTTTAACGGGATGTGGCGAGGCGCAAGGCCGAGTGACAGTGATGAATTAGCCCGCTGGTAATAACCCTCTCTGATCTCAGCCACTCTCCCAGCTTCTTGGGGGGCACTTTTAATTGTGGCATGTATCCCAGCATCCCCTTGGGCATCGTGTACGTCTGCCCCCCCCCTCTTCAATGTACACACAGAAGGAAGAAAACACACACTTTCGTACACATAAAGCTGCACATGGCCAAATGCACATACAGTAACACACAAACACACACACACACACACACACACACACACACACACACACACACACACACACACACACACACACACACACACTTCCTCCTCATCAAATAGGTCTTTGTGTGACTGTACGCGACTGGATTAGTTATCAGAATGGAAAAAACAGACTGAGGAGTGTGTGTGTGTGTGTGTGTGGGGGGGGGGGGGGGGGGGGGGGGGGGGGGTATGAAAGAAGCTAACCTCTATGTTTCTGAAGGAATTTCTCCATAACAAAAGACTCTGACCTGCCTTTTTTTACACTTTGGATAAATACAAGTATCAGAGAAAACGTGTCCTGACCAAAGCCATCAGGAGCATCTATATATATGTAAATGCCCCCTCCATCCCCATCACACCCCTCTCCCCTCGTTTACGACCATAAAAAAAGAGAAGAAGAATGGAGAATAATGGCTCAGCCATTTTTTGATTCATTTTTTCCAGGTGCCAGGCCGAGGCTGTTTATTTCCCAGGTGCTTTGTGTGAGAGAAGATTTATTTAATTTCTGATGAATAGGTGACTCCCAGAGAATTACCTTCCCTGCTGCAGTGTTTTATTTTCAGGAGCTTCCACGGTGTGACTAACTGAGACTGTAAAAGCTCTACAGTGCAGAGGTGTGCGTTTATAGCCTTCTACCGGAGAGTATTTGCATATGTCGGCCTCTTATGTACAGAGTGGACAGGGACAGTGTGAAGTGATGAGGCTGGTTAGGGGTGGATCTTTTCACCTATGAGGGAGCCAGGCAACATATTGTGGAAAGGATGGCAATTTTTTTTTTAATTAGGGCATTTTAGAATGCGGGACATTTTCTGAAGGTCAAAATATTTTTTGTTAAGAGGACTTTTGTGTTTTCTGTTTTTCCACAGGCTGAGGGGATCCTCAGAGCGTGGGCGACCCCTGCTTTACAGAGGGATTATGGCAGTGATCCTGTGGTGACTAAAATCTGGAACACCACCATGAATGAGGTACAGTATGTCTGAAGTTCTGCCCTTAAAGGACCTTAAAGGAGCATACTGGTTTTGCATTTCTTAGCTCTTAACGACAAACTGCAGATGTAGGTTATATTCAAAGCTCCATATTTTCCTCTTCTCCTGTGTTTTGTTTGAAGTGTTGATCCATAAGAAGATATATTTGTGGTTTGAAGAACTAAAAACCATCTCAGTGTAAAGAAAAACAGGGAGGGTGCTGCGCGGGGTCAATAGGTATTGTGGAGAATGTAAAAAAGAAAACTGTGAAACCAGGATGATGAGGCTATGTTTTTTTCTGTTTATTACATATCTGTGTTGATGTTCACATTGTGATTTTTTTTCCAATATTTTGTCTCATGTGAAGTAGGGAGCTTCTATAATATGTGATGTTGCTATATTAGACGCTTTAGAACTGTGTTCTCACTCATATGCAGTTTTCCAGTCTGTGTACCACCCTCACGTCATTCTCCTGATTTTGCATTCTCTAGGCTATATGATATTATTGTTTACTATTAGTTTCTCCCCAGCCTTCAGTCTTATTTGTAGTTTTCTGTCTTAGCTTATATGTCTGTGATGCAGTTCAAATATGTTTTTATTTCTTGTTGTTTCTATTGTTATAATTTGTTTGTTTTCAAGTGGTTGAATCCACACATCATGTGACTATGTCACATGACTACCTGATGAGCCTTTAATTGCACACCTGATTCTCATTGCACTTATGCCCTGATGAAGACTGAGTCGAAACGCGTTCGCGTATCCATATTCATTTTTTGTTTCACATCTACTACACACATCGGAATGCCCCAGATTTTTTACTGACTGACATTGTACAGTTTCAACTCTCACAAGACTTATTACTCTGGACAGTTGTTTCTTTCTAGTTTATTTGACCATCTCAATGTAGTTTTACATCTCCTCTCTCAGGCTTCTCACTGGAGCTCTAGTAACAACGGGTGGAAGAGCCATCAGAATAGAGGAGGCTCTTAGTCTCTCTTCTGATTGGCTGACTGTTTTCTGAGTGATCTAATAAAAATATAGCAGATTTCAGGTAAACACTCAGAGAAACCAAATCCTGCAAGGTGACATCACAAAGTTACAGAAGTCAACTCAGTGTCTGAATACAGGCTGTGTGCATTTCTCTGTGGACTGAGCACTTTGATACTTTCACAGTATTAATATAGAACCTAGAGCTGCTTTATAATCAAACAACACATGGACAAATACCTTTATACAATATGGACCTTTAAAGAAACTTAAAGAAACATACTGTTTTTTTTTTTGTTTTTTTTTTTAGTTCTTAACAACAAATTATATATGTCTGAGGGCTATACTAAATATTTCTGATCATTTCCAAATCACATCATCAGGTATTAAATAGTTTTTTTCAGTCAGGGGAGTGTGGCCGATTAAATTCTCTCTGTGTAACATTGTTCTGCTGTGTCCTTCACTGAGCCGCTCTAATGAAACAGCATAAACAAACTGCCTGTGGCTATAGTTCAAAGCTAAAATTTCTCAAGTCAAATCAAACAAAAGCCAAACAGGGGCTCAGCTCTATACGCTGCTCATCAAATCCGTCTGCTTTTGTCCATGAGTTCACCTCAGCTCCGCTGCTCACAACAGCCTCAGCCAAGCTAACAGAGGGAGCCTCTCACTCTTACCTCACCTCACTCACTGAAAAAGAAGCTTTTATTCTCACTTGTGTCACAGGCTAACTATGGTTCTGTTTACAGTGGTAAAGTATAGTAAAACTGTCAGAGCTCGTGTTGCACAAAAACTGTATCTTCACACCGACACTTCATTGTGTGGAGCCGAGCACCTCTCCAGTTTCAGTTTTACTTTCTGTTTTTTTTTTTTTTAGGTGAGAGGAAGTTAGAGCTCAAAGTGACATCTGTGAAACTGAAAGCAAAGTGGTGCTCCATCGACAGAGTCGTGTTTACTTGAGATAACACAGACTTCATTGTTAAGTTTTCAATGGTTGAGCCAATTTCTGTGCACAAAGCAGCACAGTAAATACTTACACTCATTCTGGAGTGGAAATACACACACACAACAACACAAAGCACTGACCATCGTGCAGCAGCAAAGCTCTTGTTAAACTTTAATTAATCAAAGTTTATGTACAAGAATGCACAAACAGAAGTTATATTGATGATTAAAAACTTCACCACTATCCACAAAACCCTTCCCTGCTTTTTTCATCCCTCTCTCAGCTAAAGTGCTGTGGCTTCACCAACTACACAGACTTTGTGGGCTCGAAGTTTGAAAAAGAGAACGCAGGCAGTCTGCCGCCCAGCTGCTGCTGGACCAACAGCACGCCCTGCAGCCAGGACGAGGCCGAGCACAGCGCTGTGCAGGTGAGACAGGAAGCACTGCTCCATGTGTTCAAGTACAGGCAGAAAAGGAGTGTCGATGTAGTATATCACTGTTATAAATAGGTTGGACCGAATATGAGGAACGCCTCTCAGTGAAGTGAAATACAATTCAATTACCTTGTTCAGTGGCTAATTAGCGAGCAAATGAATTAGCCTTAGCTTTTGAGACATTGAGACTCTCAGCTGTGCTAACGATGCTAACGTGAGCATATGCTTACCACAGTTACAAAAACGACTTGGACAGCAGTCTCGGCTCCACACTCGACCCACCTCTTTGGCCATTTTTGGATCAGCTGGGAGTTAGGGGCGGAGTCAGGCACTGCCAAGAAGGCGTTGGCAGTGCTGAATCCAGTGTTTACAGTCTGTCAATGTGTGTGTCGTGTTGATTTGAGAATTGCTGTTTATATTGTGACTCTTTACTCCTCAGGGCTGTTTTGAACACATCCTGGAGACCCTCAAAGAACATGCTAACATTGTGGGAGGAATTGCAGCAGGAATTGGAGTCTTAGAGGTAAAATAACGACACGGAAAATGCCAAATATAGAGTTTGAATGTGCTGCCTTTGGCTGAAAGACAGTGGTGAATCAAACAGCTCCAACAGAGCTCCAAATGTGTTATTCTTGTGGGATATTTTCTATTATTTATAATATGTGTGAAGTGCTAACCCTCTTTTTCTGGTAAACCTACAGTATATTGCAACAACAAATCAAAATTTACACCGTCTTCTTTCCTCAGATTGCCGCCATGGTAGTGTCTATGTACCTATACTGCCACCTGGACAACAGAGTCAGCTGAGACGCCTCCAGGGAAACATGAAAACATGACAGACCTGACATAGATGGATCACATGTGATTCAGTTTTTAAAAATCAATAATCTCATGTTTACGCTCTGTCACCCACACTCTTTTCTTTCAGGGAAACCTTTAGTTTTACTATGAAGTCGTCTTTGTGATGCCATGATGTTTTATGTGTAGTAAAAACTTACAGCTACTTCCTGTCTTTATATGAAGTTAAAAAGTGCACATATCCATGTTTGTCAATAAAATATTTCAAACTACTTTTTTTAATCAAAGAAGGATTAAATTATATATATATATATATATATATATATATATAAATCACTGCACACTTCCTGCTCAGCAGCAAACAGCAGAGAAACAGATATCAGACCAGCTGGTGTAGAAAGAGCAACATCAAGCAGCTAAAGAGCCAGAGTTTTGGCTGGACTGCCCACGGGCCTGAGCTACATCCACAAATGTCTGTGACTGACTCACTGAGTGAGTGATGAAGTTACACCATTCCCATTCCCATTGACCATTGCTCTTTCAAAATGATTTAGAGAAGGCTATTACATCATCAGGGGGCGTTTAGTGATCAGGGCCTTTGTTTACCTCAAACTGCAGAAGGTAACAGGACTTTATTTCTAATTCCCTCTGATATGTAGCAGCAGCGGCAGCTCAGGGCACGTCGGTGAGGGTTGATTATAAATGTGAGCCCAGTCCTGGAACTGGCATCCAGGCAAGGCTGGTAAAAACATTCTGGCCCACAGGGATTTCTCCCAGTGGCCACTCTGACTATGGAGCAGTCTGTAGTGCAAACAGCATAAAATCAGAGAGGTTGACTGTAAGCCTATTTATGTGCTGATGCATTTTGAAATTATTTTCTATTAAATATAAAAGTGTATAAATAAGCTGGCTCGCCTGGCTGAGTGGCGCTGTTCAGGGTCCTGAAAGAGGGATTTAATTCTGGCCTGTAAAATAAGCTTTTAACCTTTGTGTCATGTATGATCACATCCTCCATATTTCCACGAGGACAGGACAAGACACACGGTCTGATGGGAAACAAATTCTCCCAAGATGCATTTCAATATTTGTTGTATGCACCAATAACTGCAAGCTGAAGCTGAAGTTTACAGTTCATATGAAACATTCAGCAGTTTACTTTTGTCTTCTTTGGGTGATTTCTGGGTTAATTCAGCAACAATGACACTTTGATTTTTTTTCCTAGTTTCAACAACAAATTGTTTACAATCTGCCACAGCTCTGACCTCTGTCACTGATGTCTTTTTCATAACAACAAGCTGAGGCTCATAATTTCTTAGTTGAGATAGTTCAAACAGATGGTATCAAAACATAAAGCCTTACACTGGTTTAATTAGCCAGGAGACTCCTGGACTCCTATCATGATTAAGGCCAGCCAGGGAAAGTCCTAGGGGCCCAAGGGTGAGCAACCCCTTGGGCTTCACCTACAAAATACCACAGAAAGAAATGCAGAAGGACAACAAAGAAGATGCCAAACAACCACAAAGAATCCAAAAACCACAACAAAGAAATGCATGACGACAACAACTGACCACAGAAACACACAACAAACAATTACAAAGAGACTCAAAATGACAACAGAGACTGTACGTAGGGGCCCATTGACTCATAATCTGTCTCCAAGGCAACCATTTTTCTTTATTTTTAATAAAAACACTGTACTGCCGTAAGTCATTGCAGTGCTCAATGCGTCTTTTGTCCTGTATATTATTCAGAAATGTTCCATCTCCTGCCCTTGAAGACTGCATGCATTGTGACACAGGGCTGAATAAATATTGACCAATAAAAGGCGTGACAGTAGACAGGAGGCAGGGCATTGTTCAGCCATGCAGCAGGTTATCTGACTGCTTTCAGCACAGATGCTAAACCAGCAACCAGCTTTATTCGACTGTTTCTGTACAAGACGAAACTGCAACGAGACAGAGTCGTGCTGACTGGAGAAACACAATGTTACATCCATTAAACAAGCTGTTTGTACTTTACATAATTTTTTTTTCATTACCTTAAAACATGTAGTTGAATTTTTCTAAGACTCTCTCACCTCATCAGATATACTGTTTTCATTTGCTCTGTATTTTTTGCAGTAACTTACTTTAATCAGTCTTAAATTTTTGTGAATGACACTCAACACTTCCTCCAGGCGTTTCACATTAAAAGCTCCTCAACTGGCAGATTCCTTTCTTTTGATGTCAGATTTTGCCGCCTCATTCTATTTTCAATCTGCTCAAGGGCTGAAACTAATGATTTTTTTTCTGATTTTTTGATTAATAATTATTTTTTAACTTTATTATTTGTTTTTTTTCAAATAATGGATTGATAGTTTAGTTTAAATCTCAGTCATAATTTCCGAAAGCCTAATGAGATGTCTTCATATTCCGTTTTGTCCAACCAACAGAAAATAGCAAATCTTTACATTTTAAAGTGAATTTAAAGCTCCATATTTTCCTCTTCTCCTGTGTTTCATTTGAAGTGTCGAACCATAAGAAGATATATTTGTGGCTGAGAGCAATGACTGCTTTGTTGTGACATCATAAAGTTCCAGAAGTCCTGACGGCTGGTTTTAAGGTTCAGTTTCTGAATACAGGCTGTGTGCATTTCTCTGTGGACTGAGGCTTTGATACTTTCACAGTATTAATATAGAACCTAGACCTGCTTTATAATCAAACAACACATAGACCTTTGTACTATATGGGACCTTTAAGACAAATTTATATACATAAATGCACATGATTCCAGAGGGTTCACTGACTTATTCTTGCCACTGTGGCGTCATGGCTGTAAAGCTTGTTGAAATGAACAGACTGAGAGGAAAAGGGACAAAACATGTTCGCTCTTCCATCCAATTATAAACCCGCAAGGCATTTAGAGTTAAATCTGTCATCATCTCTGTGCCGCTGAGCTCCATGTTTAACAATAACCCCCAGCTCCCTCTGTCTCACACACACACACACACACACACACACACACACAAAATCAATATTCCATCTACATCACAGTCATCAGCCTCTGAGCTCGGCTCATCAGAATGCTCAATAGGTCAAAAATGACATTTAAAAAGGCAGCCCTCTCCCTCTCTCTCTCTCTCTCTCTCTCTCACACACACACACACACACGAACCAGCGACCTCTGAGTGACAGCCACAAATGACCAGGTTTGGAGTTGGTGATGCTGGGCAAGTGTGTGTGTGTGTGTGTGTGTGTGTGGACAATGAGTCAAACACCCCATGTGAAATAAACACACACAATTACTGTTACATTACATTCAGTCAGTCATGAGTAAAAACAGACCTGAACATCCGTCTTAATTAGAGCTGATGTAAATTTTTGGCCAACAGGCAGATTCATAAACACACACACACAGTGACTTCAACTCACACACACACACTCACACACACACACACACACACACAGGTTTGGTGTCTATTAATGAGACGGAAGAAGGATGGATGCTTGGTGTTCATGCACCCTGAGCTGACTGCCTCTTTAATTGTGCTAAAATAATTGCGGATTGGAACAACTTGGTGAGATCGAGCCTGGACAGGTCGCCCGTCAATCACACTCATATTCACACATGTGAGCAAGGAAACAAACCTGTATGTCTTTATGCTTGATACTGTTTGAATATTTACTGATCACAGTGTTAGAGCTTCTGGAGCCTCATTACGACGTCTCTAGTCCCAATAAATAAAGCTCAGGGTAAAACAAGACTTTACATTAGCGTGATTGTACTAAAGTAAATTGATGCACGTTTTTACCCGTTTCACAATCAGTGAAATTGTTCTTCTTCCCCGTCTTTTTTTCTCTGTGTCTGATTTTTTTATACAAACTGATAGATTAATGGAGTGTCTTTATCCATTTATGTGGGAGTGAAAATGAGGCTTGTGCACATGCACCCAATTTCTCAATTAGTGAGATTTATAAAGTGGAACCATGCGAACGCACAGCTTTATAATTCTGATTTCTGGCCCCTGGAATCCATTGTGTTGTGCATGCTGTTATAGGTTTATCGTCTTCAGGACAGATAATCCTGACGACACAGGGTTTCAGTGTCACATGCTGAACAGACTGTAAAACCCTGTGAGGCAAATTAGTGAGTTTGGGTTATGTAAATAAAACTGACTACCTGCCACGCTTACATCATCAGGGGTTATTATCTAAGACTTGGAGCCTCTTCCATAAGCATAAGCAGTTTTCACATGAAGAGCAGAGCTGCCAATTCAGCGTTGACTGACTTGAGTAAAGATGTCAAATAACTGAAGACTTCAAAGGGAAAAACATTCAAATCTCAAGTTTTAACCTGATTAATAAAAACCCTCAACACACACACACACACACACGCACACGCACACGCACACGCACACACGCACACACGCACAGAGCTCGAATATTTGATTATCAGGCCTCAGGTAGGTCAGCGTTCAGTGATCTGAAAGTCAAGACACTTAATTTTGCAAATTACTTGAATTCATCAAAAGATGCTTGAACCCCTTTGTGAAAACAACTCCGCTTCAGTTTTTAAAATCTGTTGAATTAACAGGCCTGTGATGGAGTGTAATACAGGGAAAGTAGAGGCTGCTGGGAACATGGGAGGAAAAAGATTAAAAGTAGCTTGTAAATGGACTTTAACAATGTACTGTCGCTCCTGATTACATCACAGATGAAAGTCAGATCTCAAAGAATGGGAAGCCACATTTGTCCTTGGTCAGCTGCGGCGGCTGCACGGATCCACCAGGCTCCGAGGATTTGCATACATTTCCCTCGCTGTGGGTTTCCTCTCACCGTTGCTCCCATGGGAAATCTGCAGGCAGCACAAGGCCACGCCACTACAAAGTCTGAGCTAAGAATAACAATAGCTCCAAGTTTATTCCATGAATAATATGCAGTGATAATAAATCCTTCTGATATGAATTATTTAAAAAACATACAGTACGGCCTCAAAGAAAAAAAAAGCAGAAGGAAACCTCAGTAAAAAACAGCTTTATTCATTTTCATGATAAAAGTTAAAGGAACTCATACATGTCAAACTGCATCTTCCACGGATCCTCATCGTCACTCACACAACGTACCTCCCAGTATTTTCCAAACAATGTCACAGCATTAAACAAAATCAACCGCAGAGCTGGGGAGAAAATGATTTGGCGGATATCCGCTCTACGTCTACTTCCTCACCGTCTTTAAACCAAAAGTGAAATTTCCAGGACACAGATATTCATTAATTCAGTCACTACACGGTAGATAGGCTGTAATACTGCAGAGTGAGAGCTGGTGTCTGACTGCAGGTGGTAAATAAATATGTGGTACATGTGGAATACTGACCGAGCCGCATTAAAACACGATTCACACACTCATTCGTTTAGTCAGTTCAATGTCACTTACACACCAAGACGGAGCAGGAGACGACCACAGTGTTTATGAAAAAAAAAAAAAACAAGGTTCTTTCACAGGACGGACACTAAATGGATTTGATCAACTCTGATTTAGGGAACAGTTTATTGAAACTGCTCCTAGTTAACATCTGTAAGCAGTTTATTACTTTATAACTCCTCGTATGAAGCATGAAGCAAGTAACCAGTGCACCAACACATAAAAGATGCTTGATAACATAAGTTGTGTACAAACAGGTAATACACTGTTAGGATTTATCATCATGTATCATTTCAGCTACATTATACTGTGTTCTCATGCACCAGTTACAGATGCTTCATGGTGGGAGGTTAACTGCTCTCATTTCCAATTTACGATGGAGTATTAAGGCCACACTGGAGGGAAAAAATCTGAAATTTCAAGAACAAAGTCGGAATATTACAAGAATTAAAAATGTAAACATTCGAGAGAAAAAAGCATAATCTTTAGGAATATAACATCAACCAGTCAAATAGGTTAAAGGACAGTCAGTGTCAGCCTGAGCTGCTTCTGGCAGCTGCTGTTTGTCTGTCTAACAATAGAATAGACTCAGTTTCGTCACAGTCTTTTCAATGTCCTGAAGCTGCTGCTGCTGATGATCATGAGCTAAAAGATGAAGTATCTCCTTATTTGTGAAACCTCTGCTAAAGTAGAACTTCACAGGAAGCTCCACATTCCTCTCTTTACAGCTTCTGATGTTTCCCCTCTAAAACACGCAACCTAAAATGACAACTTTATGACTTTTTTCTTGCAAAACTTTATTCTCAAAGTTTCATTTTTTTTCCCTCTCAATGTGGCCCTAATACTCCGTCATACCAATTCAATATGTTCAATTATCTTTCCGAAATATTCATTTAGATGTAACATCTGAAAAATAAGATGTTTAGTTTTAATAATGAGAAAAACTGGCTTCAGTATCCAGATTTTAACTGTTTAAAAGCCTCATGTTGGAGAATCAGATTGACGGGTGATATCCCAGCATCTGCAGCGCAGATGAAGGCCATGACAAAAGAATAAGGCAAATAACAGAACTAAAACCCTCTCACATCGTTAGCCGTAACAAAGATTAGTTAACACTACTTCTGTTTTCAGTCCTAAAATACATGAGAACCCTTTTAAATATCCACCTGTCTCTTTTGTGAAACTCCGACAGTTCCCTGACAGTAATCTATAACGTGGCTGACATCGCTATGTGTCAGAGCCTCCAGCTTCTGTGGTGGTTGAGAGAAACCAAAATGTACAACGCTCACAGGGGAAAGAAAAACAACCCACAGATTTAACACATATGTTGCATCTAGAAACATGTAGCCTATGTTCAGCTTTTCTAAAAGAAAAATAAGGTAACTAGGCAGCAAAGTGCAATTACGGTTTGGTTAATAATATTTAAAGTACAAAGTTAATTTCTGTGGTAGTGTAAATGCAAAGCTGAGTTCTAGTGTTGTTTTGATATGACACAGAGATTCATTGATTTTGATATTCAGTGCTGAAGTTCAACATCCAGCCCTAACGAATGTCCAACACTTTAAAAGGTCCATATAGTCTAAAGGTAGATGTCCATGTGTTGTTTGATTATAGATCAGGTCTAGGTTCTATATTAATACTATGAAAGTATCAAAGCCTCAGTCCACAGAGAAATGCACACAGCCTGTATTCAGACACTGAGCCTTAAAACCAGCCGTCAGGACTTCTGGAACTTTATGATGTCACAACAAAGCAGTCACGGCTCTCAGCCATGCCCCAAGCCCCGCCCACCTGGACCCACAATCCAACCTTGCAGGATTTGGTTTCTCTGAGTATTTACCTGAAATCTGCTATATTTTTTATTGGATCACTCAGAAAACAGTCAGCCAATCAGAAGAGAGACGCAGAGCCTCCTCTCTTCTGATTGGCTCACTGACCTGTTGTTACTAGAGCTCCAGAGAGAAGCCTGAGAGAGGAGATGTAAAACTACACCGAGATGGTTTTTGGTTCTTAAAACCACAAATATATCTTCTTAAGGATCAACACTTCAAAAACGCCGGAGAAGAGGAAAATATGGGGCTTTAAAGTGTCATTATCATCCAATCAGAGTAGACATAATGAATTACTGGATTTATGTTTCCAACTCCAGCGTATGTTGTTAAAGCTGTGACTGTTTTCTAACATTTCTGTCTCCCAGCCACCACCGAGTTTTCCCTCATGAGGCCTGATCCGAGGCAACTGACCCAGGCAGTCAATAATAGTAAAAACCCACATGGCTGTTATCAACTCTTTCACTCAAACTCAATATCTAATGCTGAAAAATATGTTGACCCTTTAAATTTTTCATCAAAAAATATATATGCATGTATATACATCATTATTTCATTATCTGTAAACGTTAGGCTCTTAAAAAACGCACTGATCTCCATAAAAGTGGATTTAAAAAACAAAAGCAAACAAGCCACTGAACTCATTTTGACTGACAGGTGTAAAATAAATAGAGATAACTTAAAACATATGTACAAGATGGACAAAGCACTCAGTAGTTTAAGAAACACAAACTATAAGAGTAACTGTTAAGTGTGTGTTTGTCTCATTTGTACCATTACAGCTTGAACAAAACCTAAACAGACTGTGTTGTCATGGAAAAAGATAAGAACAGCTGCTGACAGTCATGCAGTGATTGGGGTTTGTTGTCACGTTTAACCAAAACTGGTTCAAGCAGCATCGCCACCGTTCCTCCTCAGCCCACAGGATGGGTTTAGTAGTGCAGTCTGTAGTGTAAATCCCTCTTTTGTTTGTAAAAAAAAACAAACAAAAAAAAACAGGACTCCATTTCCCAGGTATCCTCTCGTACACAAGTTCAACATCTAAGAAAAAAAAGCCAGTTTTGTAGTTGTGGGTCCCAGACTGGATTATTAGTGGTTTGGTGGAGAAAGGAGAAGTGTTAAGGCCTGTGTGTGCGAGTGTGCGTGCGTGTCTACATCTGTTCCACCGGTGCTCCCTCTTCTTTGGGCGGAGGCTCTAAGTGAATGGGAGTGACACTGGCTGGTTTCTTCACACTGACAAAGAGACGGAGAGACAGGAGGGCAGAGGCAGACAGTGGACAGGTAGTGGTGAAGGAGAAGAAAGGAAAAAGATAGTGACATATTTGATGTGTTTGCTGTTGGGGATTGGTTTTGTTATGGGTATGATTGGGTAAGTATCAATACTTTGTGTTCTTATTGATCCCCCTCAACGATTTTGTGAATAAAAACAGATCTCAGACATGGTTTTTTGCTCTGCTAAGAAGAGCAACGTTAGCTGCCAAGACACTTATAGACAGAGGACAACAGCTGCTAAGTGCCAAACCAGGATTTCCGTATGCAAGATAATTATTTTTAAGAGCTACATGGATGAGGAGGAGTTGTGTAAACAGTTTAGGTTTCAATTACTTTTTTGACAGCAGGTGAATATTTGGGTTGTTTGGGTTGCATGTAAAATTGGGATAGTTGTTTATAATTTGTAGATATAAGTTAATACGTCTTCCTACTCCTTCTGTTATTCTTGTTAAGTTTTTATTTTTCATGTTCGAAATAAAATTTGTTCACTCATCATGATACAAGCAAAGTGTTGCACAGAGAAATAAACCACGTAAGAGGATGTAAGAAGAAGAGGAAAGCTGAAACTTATTCCCTTAATGTAGCGAAAAAAGGAATTTATATAGCAGTCAGGGAAAAGTTCCCTCCATCGCTTGTAAACACAACTCTGCCACTTTGTCGTTTTGTCTGGATATCATGTCAGCCCCAACGCTTGCTTTTTATTCTATATAACTAACACGCCACCTTGATTATAATCAGGTATCGACATCGCCCGTCCCTAATTTAAGATTTACTTACGAGTACGGAGAGATCGGCACGGCAACCACCAGCACATGGTTCCTCTTTCTGAAGAGCCGCCACAGGCCGTGGTGGTACCCTCGCACATCCAGGTCCCAAACATGGAGGCACTGACCAGGAGACACACAGAGGAAAGAATGATCTGAATGATCCTGTTCCTTCTGGAAGATTTCGGTTAGTTTCATCAGCCAAAAACATGTTTGGATATATTTAAATTATTTCCCCTTTATCAAAGTGAAGAAGACAAGATGAAGAGACATCACTGACAACATGGAATTAGATTATCATTGACAGTAAGATTCAAAAAACACAAGTGACTGAAGAATAAAATAGTTTTTGCTCTTTGGGTTTGAATTCACTCGTCCAGGACCTTTATGGGCGTTAGCTTTGTGTACCTTGGCGAGCTCGGTCCAGGTGGATGTGTCCGTCTCCGTTTCCATCTTAATAAACATGACGTAGATCTTCCCCTCAGAGTCCGGCAGGAACGAGTCCTCACATGGATTCTTAGAGTGATCCAGCACCTCCGCCTCCCTGAAATCACACACACAAAACATTACACCGACCATTCCCACCATGTTTGTAGTTTTTCAGCATCTACAGGCTCGATGCCAGTAAAATCTCACTCACTTCAACAGGTTCTGGATTTCCACTTCATAAGCATCTTTCTTCAAGCTGTGAGCAACAAGGACAAGAACATCAGGACTGTCTCCGTCACTGTCGCCAAGAACTTTTCAGCTACAACTCAAGAGCTTGTGTCGTTAGTTTCTCGGTGTACATACCTATCGACATTCTTCAGCTGCACATTGGGAACAGTGTTGAACTTGTGCTTCTTGAAATACACCTCCTATATGAAAGAGCAGACGAAGGTGGAGTGATAAGATCAGGCAAATTAATGTTAAGCACATCAGAAATGAATAAAATCTGATAAGACATCATGTCAGTGTCACTTCAGCTGAGAAAAGCAAATATCTTCAGAAAATATTTCACCTAAAAATAAAAAAAAAAAAAACACATTACAATTCAACATTTTGCCTCCTGCAGGCCTTGAAATTTAAATTGAGATTACTGTATAATTAGTGAATTTGCAAAAAGGTTTTACAAGATTAAGGTTAGGTAGAGGTGACTTGATGATGAGGTGTGACGATTTTGATGCTGAACAGTTTTTAACTAACATTTGCTGAATTACTGAGACTTAACCTCTTACATGGAAATATCCATTCATGTTGAGGCCGATGATGCCGAAGTGGTAGGAGCGGGACACATCGGGGATGATGCACTCTCTGCCTTTCCTCTGCTCCGGCATTCGCATCCACATGTCCCAGTCCCACAGCTGCAACACGCAGACACACAGTTCAACGCCACCTCACACACTTTTCATGAATCGTGCAGTTGGTTTTAACCAGTCATGGAATATCAACTTCCAAAGTTGTTTCGTTTGCAAACAGATAACGAAACACTGGAGAGGTGCCTTGGTGTAACTATCAGGGAAATGAACTGAAACCAACTCATTGAACAGCATGGGTTATTTATAATGGCTGATCAATATGTCAAGGGTCTTCTCATTGTATCAAGGACTGTTCAGGGCTTTTTTTTTGCGAACTGTGAATTTGGCTGTGGTCAACTTGACTAATATTTAACCAACTTAAGACTGACTGATGAGTCTGGTCTTGTGAGGTCGTTACCGACTGTCTTGTTGAATAAGTCTGTCAAAAATATGAATTCTACATCCCAAGGATGTAAAATATACAGAGTAGGAAAACATCCATCCTGCACCTTCTCAGGCGTCGGCCATTTTGGCTCCAGTTCATCCTTGTAGAGGCTCTTCTTCAGCACCCAGCCCAGACCGGGCATACTCTCCACTCTGTAGAGCAGGGCCGGGTCCTCCGCTGTGTGTTCATAGCCCTGTACAACAACAACAACAACAACAACAGCTGTTAATGACATACACAGCTTTTCTGGAAGCATCAAGTCTTGTCTTCCTGTGGGTCACTCAGTGGGTAGAAAATGATGTAGGGGAAAAAAAAGAGTCAAGGAGAGAAAACCAACGGTGGACGACTTGTTCAGATGTTCTAAGTTTAGGAACACAGGACGATGTTAAGTTACACCTGCAGGCTAAAAGAAAACTGATCGCCTCATCACTTGTTGTATTGTTGAAGGAACAGTTCTGACACTGAGACATCCGTTACGCAACTCTACGCAGGAAAAGACCCTTGACTGTAACACAACAGCAATTTCTCACCCTAATCAGAAGCACTGCTGCTTCCACTCCTGTAAAACCGTCACTGTGACTTTCTTATTAATCAATTTACAGGTAGATGAAACAAAATTTCTACAAATGCTCAGGTAATGAAAACCTGTCTGAATTCAGCTACATGCATGAAGAAGAGAAGAGGAAGGACAAGATGGAAACAGTGGACAGGGAGAGATAAAGTGTGAACAGGCGAGGCGGTCTGCGCTCACCTGGTCGTTCCAGGCAGAGATACAGTACAGGCTGTCGTCCTCGTCCAACAGGTGGATGGTCTGACTCAGAAAACTGCAAAAAAAAAAAAAAAACTGTTTTTAAGGCGTTTAAATTGACAGCTGGCAAAGTGACATTTTTTCTAAAAACCCAAATCACAGAAAAGTTAAGATCTTACATTTATATACCTACATAACCAAAGAGAGAGACACTGGACATTACAGACATAAGTGATCGCTGAACCTGTCATTCAAAAACAATGGGCATTAATGTGCTGCTACACGGCCTCCATTTTTCTGGTTTCACTTTGCTGCAGCATTAACATTTCCTTTCAGCAAAACTAGGTTTCCTCTGCTTGGATCAATACAACAGATCAGTGTTTAGGAAGTGAAGGTTACCTCAACCCTGCAGGTTCAGTGTTAAGTCAGTATATTAGCTTTTATTGATTTTGTTAAACTTAAGATGCTGAAGCTGAGGAAATCTACTTATTCTGACAAAAGAAAATTAAAGAAATCAAAGTTTATTTTATATTGGACCTCAAAAATAAAACTATTTCATTATTTTTACAGTCAGAAATTCAAAATCATGACTCAATAAGGACTCACTCCCCCGAAAATCTTATAAATTATAGTAGTAAACATTAAATAAAAACGAGCCTTGACTGTGTCGGTTTCATAGAGGCATTAAAACTGAGCGAGCTGGCGGCTCAGAGCGTCTCGGAGCTGTTTGAAGTCAACGCTTCAAACAGGTCAGTCACCACAGGAGGAGAGCTGCAGTTTTTTACTGCAGCAAACACTCGCTTCAAAGACAAATCCGTCCAGGAGAAGAAGTCTGGGGTTTCCAACACTGTGGCTCCACTGCCACCTAGTGGTCACTCTGGCAGCAGGGAGGATTTATGGGTCCTCTCTGCTGACAGTGTATTAAACGGCTCATTCAACTACTCTCAAGTATGAGAAAGAAAAGCAGCGAATCCTCACATGTGAGAAGTTTGAGCCCACAAAAATGACTGAAACAATCAATTATCAAAAACATTTACGGAGTAATTTAAAATTACTGATCGTTATTGGTTGTGCAAACTGGAGAACATACCTGAAGAAGTCAATGGAGATATCCAGGTCTTCCTCCAGGACGATGGCAAAATTGGAGTCCTGATAAAAATGAAGAGTAACAGACTTCAGTGAAGTCTTTATGCAGTGCAGCTCATGATAACGGATTATAATCAATAAACCAGCAAATACTACAATAAATAAAGTCTAAACGCTGTTGTTTTTAACTAAGCGGTAAAATTAAAAACGCCTGAGTGAACTCACTGGGTGAAGATTGAAGGTTGCAGTCAGACTGGCTTTGTAGTGCTGCGACAGAGGGCAGAGACAAACTGTTTATTTAGAAACAAGAACTAATAAAAACTGTCATGGCTCCACTGACATGGATTTGGTGTTAACATGTTAAGTTAGGTGCTAGCTGCTGTTTACCTGGGACACTCTGGCGTTCTTGATGCTGATGGGTGTGTGTTGAACTCCCTTCAGCCCAAACAGCTCAACAACATCCATCGGCTCCTGAGTCAGAAACACACATGAAAACAACATGTATGATGGGAGAGGTGGTTTATCGATACACGGGAGCAGGACGGATGCAAGTTTTAATGTACTTTGACACCTCACAAGATTAAGATTAAATTTATCTCGTCTCTCGTTAGTCATCAAGCAGTACAGATAAAATATGGCCAACAGTGTGTCCCACTGATGCGTTTTAATAGTTTGTGGAAACAGTGGAGCTCAACGGCTCAGAGGAAGAAGACACTTCAAACCACTCTTGTTAGTAGGATACATTCATTGCTGTTTTTTTACCAACACTGTGGCTTGTATGTGTGTGTGTGTGTGTGTGTGTGTGTATGGAGGGAACTATCACAGAGGTGGTCTTAGGAAGTCAAAATGAAGGCCGAGGTCAAAGATGGGTGTGGTCTCCGACTCATGAGTACTAAGAATCATTCAGAAGATCAATATGTTGACAAGAGGGTTTCTAGTTTGTCTTTTCGTCAGACTCTCTGATAATGACACATATAAAATAAAATAATGTTTTCAATGTTTAAAACAAAATTTTCATTGTTTTTTCTTATTGGCCTCTCCCTGTGATGAACCAATAATAGCAGCTTTTATGTTATTGCTGGTCAGACCATATCATATTTCTGTTTGTTTCCAACATTTGTGAGATTTTCGAGTGAGCCATGAGTTGGAAAATGTTGGGAACCACGGTTGTGACATATTTTACCATTATCTTAAAATTGCAGCTTCCTGTTATTTGGATATTTCACTTATGCCATATTGTAATTTGGATAATATCTTGATTAATAGTTCTGCCCTTGTCATTACTGTGTTAAACATTGAAACAGGTCCTGAAACCGTGTGTGGGAGATCATTTTTTTCATTTAACAAAATAAATAAAAAATCTCAAATGTATCAATATTTAATATATTGTCTCCAGTTAACTTGATATTAATATGTCATAACATTTCTGAAAATACTGAAAATAAGTTGATAAAAATGGTTTTTTAGTTATTTTTGAAACCACATTCCCAAATACATTTGAGAAGCTTTTAGGTTTTGTCTCTTCTTTCCTGGTTCTGTGAGAAACAACATCTCATACTCTTTTGATGAAACTCAGTCAAAGCGGAGATAAAACTCGTACCTCATAGTATCCATCGATGAAGACCGTGATCATCTGCGGGTTGACGCCGTGAGCCGACAGAAGCGACCTCAGCATTCTGAAAACACACGACAACTGCTTGTAAATTCGTTTGAGATACACAAGAGGAATGACAGTCGTTTACTTCTCAGCTCCATGTCGCTGTGTGACTCTGTCATTTGTTCTCATTTAATGAGGACGGACAGGGAAATGGTTATTTTCCTTTACATTAATATCTACAAATGTATTTCTAAGGAAGGGACCACCATCTTTCTTAATCAGGCTCCGACAGCAGCAGCTTATTGCAGCTCTCACTTTGTCTATACGTCGTGCAGAGCAGCAGGTCATTTATTAACAGGAATATTTACGGACCGTGGGTCTCATTTATCTTTATTTGCTTATGGCTGAGATGCAGTTTATCTATGAAATACCAACAAATACGTACAAATATTTTTTATAGATGACAAGTAGAAATCAAAAGGCGTGATCTCTACTTACAGTGTGTGGTAGAAAAATAGATCTCATTAAGTAGCTGACTTTTCGAAGCTATTTCTGTTTCCTTTCAAAGACAAAGGACAAAAACAGTCTGAAAACCCTCCCGATCACAGTAGTTTTCAGATCGTACCGGTAGAGATAGTTGGGTCTGTTCCCTGCGATCACAGCCACCGGGACACTGAAGACGTTATTGTTGGGGAGCTGGGAGGAGAAAGAAAATAACGTGAGTGAAAACTGAATGTGTGTACATGAACATAAGAAACTAAATCTCTTGGAGAAATCGGGTGACACAAGACAACAGAAATGCACTGTGGTTAATCCAAGTATACATGCTGCAGGTAAACAGACTTCTCCTCTATAACCTGAGCTTATTTTAGAGCCACGACTTATTAAGTTCATGCGTTTTGTGTGTGTATTTTGCACTTCCAGCACAATGAGGGGACAGAATCTACTGTTAAAGAGCACAGCTTAAAGCAAAAGTGTGTGTGGATTCATCTGAGGAAACTAAAATTATTTAGGCCAGTGGTTCCCAACCTGTGAACCTGGGCTCATTGGTGGTAAGTGGGCTGTCAAATTATTTGCAAAACAGTTGGCCACAATTTGTGAAAAAGATGTACTTATAAAAATTAAAATAAAATACTAATATAATTTTTAAATGTTTTAAAATCAAATGATCCTTAAAACCATTAAAATGTGAAAAACTCCTGTGATTTTTCCTTTGGTATTAACTTCCTATCACTGTGATAAGACAGTGATAGGAATGTCTTCCTTTCCTGTTACAGCTCAGCTTATCCTCAACTCTTTGTCATGCACATGCAAACGTGTGATCAGTCTCCCTTTAATCAGGCTTTCCCGTCTGCCCCCACAACATGCAGCTGAATCAAACAAACAGTCCGACAGTGAAAACAGTCTCGTTGTGCATCTTACCGGGTCAGGATTGAACTCTATGGGTGCCGGGTCCTTGCAGCTGCAGATGCTGCCGTATCCTTCCACTTTGCTGCAGAAGAGCTTCCTCCTCCGGTTCAGTTCGGTGTCGGCCCAGTGGCACTCTGCCTCTGCAGGATGGAGGGTCACGTAAAAAGTACTATTCCACCATTTTACAACCTGGATCTCTCTTTTTGGTTTTAGCTTTGTCCATCGAGGAGTTCTGCAACATGGTCAGCTCAACATATTTTACACATGGTCGACCTGCGTCTCACCTTCGGAGGCGGTCAGCTGCACCTCGGTCTTCAGCAATACCGGGTCTCCCCACGTGGACAGAGCTGGAGACTTGGAGTGCTTCTCTCCGTACACTTGACCTGGACACACAAACATACAAATACTCAGCCAGCAGGTCTAGACAGGTGATATCATGAAGCAAGTTTAATGGGCTGATTAAATGAAATTAAAAATAAAAAAAATGAAACATAATGATTCTATGTTGAGATGAATGAATGATACCAATCAATTAGGAGCCCTCCCAGCTCCACTGAATGGGAGGAGTTGGACATCTCCATGAAAGTGAAAACGAACTCCTCTACCTCCTTTCTTCACCACAAGCGTCCACATGTCCCTCCAGCTGAGGTTGAGGGACGCCTGGCTGCCGAGACTCTTCAGCAGGTTCTTGGCAGCGTCTTTGAGGTGGAACGTTCCCTCATCCTGCAGGACGGAAAACACACGGTTCTCCACTCATTCAATTCTTCGTCACATCTGTGTGTGCCTGAACGTTCACATCAAACACTTGATACCTGAATCAAACAGCGGGACAGAAGCAGCGACTCACCTTGATGGTAAAGATTAGGACTCGGCCCCGGGTCACCATGTTGAGGAAGAGGATCATGGCTTCGTCCTCATGGGGAGAGTAGGTGTCAAATATCCTCTTGGCCATGACATGACCCTGAGACACACAGTGACAGACACTGACTGATTCATCTCATCAAAAGACAGTTATGTGGTTTTTTTTTTCTTTATTTTTGAAAGATTAAATAATACAATATGATAATAATAAAAATGTTTATGCAGCACCTTTTAAAACAAAATTCATTGAAAGAATTTTTTTTTAAAAAGTAATACAATCCAAATATATATAATATAGAAAACACAGATTAAATCGTTTTAACAATTGTAACAGAAAACATCAGTAAAGCCATAAGACCAAAGTGAGTTAAAAAGAGGAATCCGTCTGCTGCGACATTTGTTGGATATCGCGTCCAAAAAGCAGAAGAAATGGTGAAAGAAGCGTTGATTATCTTCATTAACAAAAAGGTTGTTGTCTCAAATGAAACCAGTGAAACTGAACAGGAAGAAAAAGGTCATTTGTTGACATTTAACATGGGAAAAAAAAAAAAAAAAAAAAGATTCTTACAGTTGCCTGGTTGAGAACGATCACATGGATGCCTCTGCCTTGCTCCCGCATGTCATCCTCCAAAACCTGCAGAGGACGAGCAAAATAAAGACCGGCTTTATGGAGCTAAAGGGACAGTCTGACATTTTTGGGTGGATCCCCTCATTTCCCGGCGTTTCCAGAGGCAGGCGAGAAGATGGATATCAGCTCCATGGGACATGTTCAGCCTAGATTAGCATAAAGACTGGAAGCACTGGGAAAACTGCATAACTCCACCAAGAAGTGAGTAAAAATGCTCCTTTTGGCAATGGACGCTGGGTTAGAGGGCAAACTGTGTTTTCAAAATTCTGTCCATCTTCTATCAGTCATAATAACAATATAATTGCAGAGATCTGGGAACACAGTGACATCACTAAACACACTTCATGTGGTGCAAAAACACACAAGCACATACACACCTAGTTACATTACATCATTTTTTTTATTGCATACTTTGCACAGGAGGGGAGGAGAAGGGTGACCTTCGTGTGTGTCATCCCCGCCCCCCCCATACACACACACACACTCACTCACACTCACATACTCAGACTTGAGACATGCACTGATCACCTCTGTTGCACACACACTCCATATTCAAATATGCACCTATACTGTAGATAAGTAATGTAGTGTATTATCCACTTAATTTCCTTCTATTTCAACATACTAAATTGTTGTATGTTCTTCTTTTATGTATGTTTTATTCTAAAGTTCAAGGAGGTTGTCAACTAAGGCCTTGTCGAAGGTTACCTTGAACCACTCATTGTAAGTTGAGTTTAAGGAATGTGCCTTAGGAGGTAAAATTGTTTCCCCATTGTTTTTTTGGTAAATACGGTATAAGAGAGTGGGGGTTTTATGTGGGCCTAAAAAAGCCAAAGGCTAAAGACCAGAGGCTGTAGACCAGATCTTATTTACCTTTGGGTGGAGGCTTCTTCTTATTGGAAGAAGTGCACATTCCAAAGGTGAGATAAGACAGATAAATAGAGGGATTTGTGAAACGTTAGAGGAGAGATCTCACATCGGCAGAGATGCTCCAGGATTCGGCATTTTTGACACTGTTTCTTTCTTGTAAATAAACTTCTTTTTGATTGCAAGTAAAGACGTGTCAGCGGTGATCACTTCTTCACATCAGCACCTCATGATACCACAGTAACACAGTATTTTTTATTGCACTAGGACTATCTGTCATACAGCCAAAATTTTATCACAATTGTACAGTTATTTATTTGCACTAGTGATGTCATTGTCACATGTTATTGTTACTGTCATTCTTATTATAATTTTACAGGTTTTGTTTTGTTGTTTTTTCTTTGCACTGTTGCACTGGTTGTGTGTTCTTCGTTGTGTATATGTGTGTTTTTAATGTCTACTCTATGTGACCATTAAATTGCCCCCTTGGGACAAATTTTTAAAAAATAAGCGTAATGTATGTGTATAAATTGGTGTGTATGTCTTTGTGCATCTTGTTTCTTTTCATTTTGCTCAATGTACTGAATTTGAACAAACTCAAACTTTTTTTTGTGTCTGTCTGTATGGTTTATGTTCATCTGACCTTTCATCAGTGTCATACGCTGGTCCTGTATTCTACTTTTGAAATGACAAAGTGAAACTTGAAACTCAGCCTGCAGCTACATGTGCAGGAAAAGGAAGAGTGTCCATGTATCAGTGCAGGACATCTGACTGCTTGTTTTTTTTTTGTTTTATTTTAATTGGCTTTTTATTTCTTTTCCAAACAAAATAAAAGTAACATCACCCAGAAAGACATAAACAGAAGAGGTAACAATAATAATAATAAAAACAATCACACTAAGAACACCAAGAAAAAAAAATGACACAGGGTGAGCATTGGTATCACCTGGTTAGCCACCCATATTATTCCAAAAGACCTCCTGCCTCTTGTTCAATTTAAAAATTGTTTATTGCTTCTTTATAATGACGGTGCTGTGTTCCCAGACCTCAGAAAGGTTATTCTTACTATTATAACAAAGGAAAAATATTTCGAAAATAATCAGTTAAACTCACGGTGGTTCCATCCACTGCCACGTAGACCTTGGAGCGGCTGGAGTACACCTCAATGTCCAGGACCTTGCGTCCATTAGCCGGCCTGCGTGGTGTCTCCATGTTGGGTACGGCATCCTCTGAATAAGCATAAGACCAGAGTTAGGTCATCCAAGATAAAGCCAGGCTCAGGTGGAATACATTTTCACAACAGTGTGTTGAATAGCTAAACAAAACGTATTTGCTGTTAATGAACAATCCAAAAAGCGAAAAAAAAACCTCTGTAATCAGCCCCAACAGGCCAGAGAAAAGGTTGAGATTTATACTTTGTTAAAACTATTTTCATCTGACAGATCCACCCACAGGTCTATCATCATTTTGTCATATCAAGACCAATCATTGTTCAAACTCACTGAACTTCTAGAAAACACACCTTTAACTTTCCAAAGATATCAAATATGTCCAGCAGAGTTTAGGGAAATCATGCATCTCAAGACATTTCAGGAGTCACGGTTTCAACTACTTCACTCTGTGTAACCATCAGGAAGCTACAATATGGAGTAAGAACCAACTGATACTTAATCTGGCGGCAAAAAATGTTTTATTTGCTTCTTTTTTTTTTTTTTTTTTTTTTTTTTTTTTAACCAGCCTCTAGTGTCTGCTATCAAAGCTCTATGTAACCCTCATCAAATATTTGGCTATTAAGGGGGTTGAAGTTTGAATTTATAAAGCTAACCAAAAATAGAAAACACCACTTTTTGTAACACTTACTCAATTCAATTTTATTTTATAGCCTGCATCCACATGCAGTGGACGTGCTTGTCTGGAAGAAGTAAACAAAATGAGTACCAAACATGTTTCTAACCATATTCTTGGGCTGCTGCATCTTCATTAGCAACTCTTCTCGTGTCCAAGATGAGTTTAATGTTGACTATGACAGTTATCAGCAGAAAGAGCACAGCACCAGCCTGTGAAAAGAAAACAGTGTTCAGTTTGAAATCAGATCTTATTTCATTTCTAGTTCTAGTTCAAGTTCTAGTTAACATGTGGGTTTTAAAGCTAATGTCAATGTTAGTAGTGTTTCAGTCTACCAACTATTGCCACAAGTAATCTATGGTGAAAGCTGATAACATATCAAACCATTGCTGTGCAGGATGATGTGCAAAAAATATACCTCTGCATGTGTGCTTCACGTGCAGCTTCTGAACAAACATTCAGGACAGTGGGGAACACCACACAATGCTCCTAACTAAACCCAGTGTCATGTTGGAAGTTTGTTCCCCCTTCAAGCAGTGCTTCCCTCACATTACAATGATGTTTCCAGTCAGCCCCTCCTCCATGGTTGAGATTAGGGTCTAGGTTAAGTTATAGTAGCTGTGATAACTGGTTGGGTTTATAGGGTAAGGCTGGGGTGAGGTTATGCATCTGAGAGGACGACTGATTGGGGTGAGGGACATGGTTAGGTTCAGGTTACGGTAAAGAGAAACAAACAAAACTCCAGTACACAGTGTTCTTGGCTAAAAAGTAAGATGGTTAGGTCTGCTAGACTGAACCAAATGAACTAAACCGAAGAATGATCCATTATTTGTTGGTTGGTTGGTTTATATGTGGAGGTTATGGATTTAATTTGGCTAAATCATTCACCCTTTTTTTATTTGTACAGGCACATTTTTCTATCTTGTTTAGCCAAAACTCCCTTGCTGAAATTACTTCTATTCAGTCCGCAGTTGAATTGGTTTTTATTAAAAGGGTAATATAGTCAGTCAACGGGTCTACTATTTAGATTAAGACAAACTTTAAAGGTTCTGTAACTGATTGTCACTGCCACTAGATATCACACTAGTCCACCAGCATCTCAGATCAAAACAAAAGCTTTGTTGGCCACAACTCCGGCTTACGTTCGGCCATTTATAAAATGGGTAACAGCAAGTCAACTAACTTTGTCATATCTACTGTGGCCATCACTAATGCAAACAGACATGTAACATTATGTAGCCATCAAGTTACAGAAACATTGAGAGGAAGAAAAAGCCAGTTCTGAGTCAAGCTGGACCCTTTAGCAGCACGTAGGTCTCTCCATCTTGGTAAAGCCAGACCAGTATTGGCTACACGGTCGGACTGGGAAAGAAATTCAGTCTTGGACTGATCCACTGGGAGTGGGGTCACAGGAATGACACTGACAGAGCCGGTAAGGACACAAATGCAGTCGATAAAAACTTAATGGATGTTTTGACTGTCCTCCGGTTGACCAGGATTTGAACGTTCCTATGTTTAGTCCACCTGTGCTGATCTCTTCTTTGTCTGAGGCCTTCTAAGACAAAAATGTGGTTTCTTCTTCAGTGGAGGAAATTGTGGAAGGTCGCTCCCACCTGAACACTGCATACTGCACTGAGCCATCACACCTGTGGATGATCCCTGTGTGTTTATAATGTGGGGAGGACCAGCGGTTTAACAGGAGGGACTGGGATCAACTAATAGGCACACACGTAAGTGCACTGACATGCATGCACTACCAGACAAGCTACCAAAGACCAGAGAAACTCGGATTACAACACACACAGGGGGGGTGCGACTTCTTGGTCCGCTCAGGACGCCGTTACTCCTCTATATTTTTATGCAGAGAATAGTTGTTTGCTGCTGTATTATTGTTTACAGAACCTTTAAATACACATGATATATAATTGCTAATAAGAGCATCTGTTCCATTATTACTAGCAAACTTTGCAGGAATAATTTCCACCTTTGAGTATATGTATATGTGTAATTGGTATTAGACAACACTGTAGGTCACTACAACGGGATACATGCGTGACTGTTTGTTTTCACTAACCTGGCAGAACCGACGAATCGTCCTCTTGTTGGTTAGTTTGTATTTCCAGGTGAGGTACAAGCTCCTTTGTTGACGTGGGATGAAGGGCTTGGCTCGGGGGTTAGGGGTCCAGGTCTCCATCCCGGACACCGACAGCCGCCAATACACAGCTCAGACCCTCCGCCTGCCCTCCTCCACACCCTGCGGCAGGAACATGCACTGCTCCACACAACGACACACCACCGAGACACGACTGGGGGTCACATAGTCACCTGAAAACCACAAATGAAGCAGCTAATCACCAAGTTTAGCTAACGATAACTAGCTAGCCGACTATTTTTACACCAGCGGGGACATAGCTGTTGGAGTTTGACACCCTCCAGACGTCCCTTTTCTGTTCAGATATTAATATTACTACTCACAGAGTCATCCACGATCCTGGCATTATTATTTCAATCTGGCAGCGAGCAGCAAAAGCCAATAAAGTAGCTTGAAACTGCTGCTACATGCTACATGCACGGTGTTTCTGTCGCAGAGGAAACGACGTCACTACGCTAGCTTGTGTGCGTTTTCTTCTTCTTCTGTGATTTTCAGCAGCATTAAGACTGTTACACTCATTACTGCCCTCTAGAGCATAATCAATAAACTACCTCAGACACTGTTCATTCTTCGAGATAAGCCCAGTTTGTGTTTCTCATGTAGCCTACAATTTGCTACTCATACATTTCAGAGTACTTTTTACTTCATTAAGTTTATTTGACAGATGAAGTTACTTATTAATTTTCAGTTTAAGATTTAAAAAAAACTATATAATAACATCATAAAACAAAACACATTATCAAACATTAAGTCATTAAAAGTGTCTAGTTGTTGCAAGCTGCAGACAAGCAGTTGCAAACACTGAATTCCCATCAGATAGTTTAATTAAAAATGTGGTGACAGCTGAAAAAGGTAAAATTATCCAATAATTCACAAATATGGTAAAGATGAAGGGAAAGTCATAAAAATGAATGCAAATTTGTGCAGCAGAATTATGTATTTTCTTCTTTACTCTTTCGTTAACAATCTCACGACCCTTCAGATTTATCTTGTGACCCTTTGGAAGGGCCTCACCTCTAGGTTGGGAGTCACTGGACTGAACTACCAAACAGTATAAAGTAGATCAAACTAAAGGGAAATTTTCCTTTGCATTGCTGCATCAGTATTATATAATTATATAATTAATTAATATTATAACATTAAACATTATATCATTAATAACATATAAATCACAAATGCCCTTGAAGTGGTTATTACTTATTACTACATTGTACACACATATTTATTTATATATGATAGAACTCTGTATCCTTACTCAACTCACTTTAGATATTTAATATTACAGGACTAGGACTAACATCAGGAGTAGGAGGACATGCCTACTTGTCTTACTATTTTGAAACATTACATTTACATTTACAACAAAAGACACAAGAGAACACAAGAAAAATCAGGGACACAGGGATGGCAATATCATGCGACATTTCTTGGAGGAATGCAGTGGGTGAGAAGGAGCATAAGATTTTATGATTGAGTTCAAGTAGATGGGTGCAGACCCAAAAGTCACTCTAAAGGTAAGCATTTTAGTGACTTGAATTTGATTTGGGCATTCATGGGTTACCAGTGGAAGTCGATGAGTAGCGTAGTGACATGTGCCCTTTTAGGCAAAGATGAGATGGGCTGCAGCATCCTGGACCATCTGTTACGGTGTCACTGTGCATGAAGGAAGGCCTACTAGCAGGACACTGAAGTAGTCAAGGCACAAGATGGGTGGCATACTAAGCCTGGTAAGGCCTGATTTTTCTTATGTTGTATGGAGCAAAGCGGCACAACCAAGCGACAAATGCAACATGGTCAGAGGATAGCTGGTTCATTAATCATGACATCCATGTTTTGTTGCGACATTGGTTGGGGTAAAAGTTCAAGAGGTGATTTTAATATTGATATTGTGATGGACAGACTGATTGTCCAGGATGACCAAAGGTGGCGTTCCTTCATTTATGTGAATGTGTCAGAGTGACAAGTCAAGATCTGTGCAGAAACCGCGGGGTCGTCAGGTGGGAATGACAGATATATGTAGTTGAGTGTTGTCTGCATAGCAGTGATATTACAAGCCATGCAAGTGGATAATTGGACTCCAGGAGGTGGTGTATATTGCAAAGAGAAGGGGTCCCAGTACCAATCCTTAGGGCAATCCTGCGGGGAAGGGATGGGATGAGGGCGTTTGTCGTTGCCATGTCCTTGCCTGAGCAGTGGTTCACTGTATCAAAGGTTGCTGAAGGGTCCAGCCAGAGACGACAGAGTCATTTCAGTGGAGTGGTCGCTCTTAACACTTATTTGGATTAAGGAAGTCATTCCATGAGAGGAATTCTGAGACCTGTTTGATACACAGAATGGAAGTAGTGAGACAGGTGGATAGTTCTCCACTCGTGCAGGGTCAAGTGAGGGCTTTCTGAGCAGAGGACTTAGTCCTGTCAGATACCTAATATGCCTTCTATTTTCAACTGCTCTTTCTCTGAGTCCTGCTTTTTGAGTCCAAACCTTATGTGCTCAGAACTGTTAACAACAAATAGAGGATCTAGCTTATAGGGGCCCCCTTACTGTAAAGGAATTTTCCAGTGATGCACGCATAGATGATCAGTATAGAGTATAGAGTTTACTTGAGGCCCTTAGGTCAGGCTGTCACTAAATCTTACAGGCGGAGACGCTCAGGCGGCTGTATCTCTTTGGTGACAGGGCTGGAGACAAAACTGATAACAGAAGACCTGGGATGGTCAGTAACAAACAACTCTCTTTTATGTAACCAGCAATATGGGCATGTGTAAATCAGGCTTGCTTGTTATGTTTAAGTAACCAATAGAATGCCCACACATCCTCTGTGTGCCTGAGATATGACCAAACATGGGTGTGAGTTGTTTTCTGGGCATATGGAGAACTGAATAAAGACTAACCACAGGGCACCATTCAGGTAGAATTGAGTTGGCATCATGCACAGCAACATGTATTGATGATACCTCTGTTCTCATTGGCCAAGCTTCAATCCTAGGTTCCATCACACTTTTTTCATTGATTCCTTAACCATCCATAATAAGAATCTCCCTATCACTAACCACTTGGCCCCAGGGACCATGCCTTTTAGACCCATCTGGTAATGGATGCATGCCCTTAACTTCAGCGCGCCCAAGAATCCTCGATAACTTGACTTTACAGCACATCACACCATCTCTAAACAAAACACTGAGAATGTCTTTTGTCAGAGGTGTGGCTCGAGTCATGTGACTTGTGCTCGAGCCAGACCTGAGTCATGAATCTAATGATTTTCTATTCGACAGAATTGAAGAATGCGTGCAGTTCAGCTTTGACTTCAATGTGTAGCATGAGTAATGACTGCACTTGGACTTCAGCCTTTTGACTTTTGCCTTTTGCGTTGCAATGGCTTGGTATGACAGAAGAAAGCTCAGATTATCACATTCAGATGCATTAAGACTAGAATAACACACCAAGGCACAACCGTTTATTTTGCTTTTAAATGTTATAAAAACAGTTTATTTGACAGTAATAACAATTTAAAAAAAGAGAAATGTATCCATTATTTCTGTAAATTCACTAAACCAACTGTCTGTAGGTTTCTATTAAGGGGAAACGAAAGTTCAAATCCAGTGCTTAACATTACATTGTTTACAACAGCATAAAAGTTGAACATTAATGATTTTATGATGCTGCGCCCAAAGCAGCAGCTTACATAAAGAGCAGAAAACAGAGATTTACATTTAGAAAACTACTGAGACCGGGTGGACGATGAGGTGAGTTGCTGCTTCATCATATCTGTAATAAATAACATTAATATGTTAAATATCATGGATTTTAAGTCTTTACTCTGTTCTCCTCTTGCTTTATTTCCTTAATGCCATTTCTTCCTTTGTTTTGTAGTTTCTTCCTCCACCACTTCTTTCTTTCTTCTTTACCTTTTCATTCTTTTCCCACCTTTAGTCCCCTTTCTTCAGTTATCTCCGTGTTCCTTTTAATTCTCTTCTTTCCTTCCTTGTTTTTTTTTCTAGCTCCCTATGTTCCTTCCTCCTTTCCTGTTTTCTCTTGTTTCTGGAGTACCATTTCTTTGCTTCTTCTTTCCTTTCTTTACTTCTTTACTTCCTGTATTCATTCTATTCAGTTCCGTTTCTGCAGTTGTCTCTCATTTTCCTCCATGATATCTTCCTTTCTCCTCTCGTATACATCCCTTTTTTCATTAATTCCTTATTTCTTCCTTCTTTTTCATCTATTTATTGTTACTTAATCTCTTTCTTCCTTCTGTCCTACCCTTTAGCCCTTGTTTTACATTTGTTACCTAATTCTCTTCTATTTATTTCTTCTGCCCCCTTTCCTCAATTCCTTATTTTCCTCATTGGTTTCCTTATTCATTCCTCATCTTGCATTGTTTTATTTTCCTCCTTAATTCATTCTTATTTATATTTTCTTCCTCCCTCCCTTTTAGTTTCAGTTGTTCACTTTTAACCTCTCTGATGGATGGTCTTGCATCAACTTTACTATGTTATACTGTATTTCTTTCTACAATTGGTGCAATACAAAATAAATTGACTTGACTAGTATATATGTGATGTAATATACCTAATTTTTGTTGTCATCAGTGTTGCTCAGACTGAAACAACACTGGAGGCCAAACTGGAGGCCCTGCAATGCCACTTCACCTGGGATCTGAAGCCCACTGGGTACACACTTCTCCGTCTCAGGGACAACCTGGAGGACATTGGCACGGAGGAGGGAAACAGTTGGCTGGGTCACACTTACAACCTGGAGGGGTACATTCACTACCAGCTGGGTTCCATCGATAAGGCCAGGAGTCTCTTCAGCAGGGCTGCAGAGGCCTTCCGGCAGATAAGAAACACCGTCTCAGATGAGGGTCCCTGGTTGGTGGTGAACTATGGGAACAAGGCTTGGTTGCACTTCCATCAGGGAGAACAAGCAGAGAGTCAGGCTTGTTTGTCAAAGGTTGAGGAGCTAATGAAAGAATACCCATCTCCATCGCAGGACGAGATCCATCCAGAGATCTACGCTGAAAAAGCCTGGACTCTGATGAAGTTTGGCGCAGACAAAAAGCTGCTTGCTGCAGATTACTTCCAGAGAGCCATCAGGATGCAGCCAGACATGGTGGAGTGGCAGACCAGCCATGTGTTAGCATTAATAAATCCCTTTAACCACAGCAACCTGAGGGATGACATCTTGGAGAAAATGAAAATCGCCAAGGAACACGACCCAGAGAACTTGTACCTTGCTGCTCTTTACCTTGAGGCTCGTGCTAAAAAAGGAGAACAAATTGAAGGTGAAGCTCGTGAGCTGGCCATAAGGGTTTTGAGAAAGCCAGTTAGCAGCTACAGTGGTATTGAACCATTACTAAGGCTGTACAGAGTCTATTTATCCAACAATGAGGCTATTGATTTGGCAGAGGAAGCTCTTGAAAGACATCCAGACGAACGTTACCTGAAGAGGCGTGCAGCAATCTGCTACGAAAAAAGAATCTTCTCAGACAGTGACGGTCCCCTGGAGAACAGCATGATCGACAGAGCAATCAGCCTACATAAGGAAGTGATTTCTCTCTACCCTGACTCTTCACTTAAAAGAAAAATATATCTTGCAAGCATATATGTACGGTCAAACCACAGCCAAGAAGCTGACCAGATATATGAGGAGCTGCTTCAAAGTGATCTGGATCCTGGAGGGGCTCAGATGCTTTACAACTACTATGCAAAACATTTACATTTCATTCACAAGAGGATGCACGAGTCGATAAAGTACCACATGAAGGCAGCAGCGATACCGCAACAATCTTTCCTTCGTGAGAACAGCATTAGCATTCTGAGGAGGATTAGAGACAGAAACAGAAACCGGATGTGTGGAGAAATTGAGGAGTTTCTGGCTAATCTGCAACTCTAAGAGCCAATTATAAAGAGGGAACATTTAGTGTAGTGTGCAGCTGAGTGCTTGTAACAAGACTGGATCTGAATCCAGAATAATGTAGATTTTAATGGCCTGAAAAAATCTGTACAAACTCATTACTCTTTACTCTGACATGTATATTGTTTTCGGTTTCACAATGATGAGATTTCACAATTTTGTGTCAGTCTATATCTATATCTATAGACTGTAGACCTAAATCATCCCAGCTTTGCCTCACATGCTTTAATATCTATCTGAAGACCCTCAATTCAGATAAGGACACCCCTTAAATATGTTTACTAAATTAGATTTTACTATGTGATCTGCTGAAAAAAGGTGATGTCACATATCATTGTGAACCAATCAGAATTTAGCAAAATTTAGGCTGAAATCTGATTAAATGTCTGTGTTTTTTCCCCCTTTTTACATTAGAGATTTGACTGTTAAACTGTTAATAAATTGTTATTATTGTATATAGAATGTGTTTGTTTTGAACTTGGACTTGATGACTGTTGCTACTATTTATCTATAACCAATTTGCATACAGTGGATCACTGACTGCTTGTATGCAAAAGGGGCAGCGCATGGTGACGAATCCACAGAGAATTTATCACCCAACTCAGCAGTTCCCTTTTTAGCATCATTGTTTTTATTTTCTGTTGCACAATTTTTGGTTTAGTCTCATCGCTCTCATAGTGTTGTTTTCATCAGACTCGTGAAAATATTGAAGCTTTTAGCAGTTTAAGAGCCTCATTATATCCACCAAGTGGAAACAAACTCACTTTAATTGAATGATAATGGTTCTCTGTTGCTGCTGGATGTGTAAATAAATAACTGTCTGCAACAAGTTTTAAACAATATCACAACCTGAACCATACAGGCTGTTTTTTTAAAACCTCTAATACGACCTATAGGAGTGTCTCCTGAAACACAACCCTACGGTGGTAGGCATACCGCACCTTGGTTGTCATGGTTACAATAATAAACATGCCGACTGTATTGAGAGTGGCTTACCTGCCTTTGTCGCCATGGTTACTACAATAATTTGATTGGCTTTGTTAGGTTTTGGAAAAGATTGGAGGTTTGGGTTCAATTTGGGTTCAATTAAGGACTTACTCAACGTTAGACAATACGTGGTGTCATGGTTACAAAACTGCTACTTCCACATAGGAATCGAACACCGCTCTCCTGTGTCATATTCATCCATCACCACCACAACCTCCTCCTGACATGGACTTTGTCTCTCTTTATACTACGTCACCGCACTTTTCCCTTTGCTCCTGTCATAATTACTACGACCACTAGATGTCACCGAGCAACAAAACATAACTATGGGTCATAATAACCTGCTGCACAGATGACTATGGGCTCGTTTATTACAGCTGGGCAGTCTCCAATATCAATATTTGATGTAAAACTTTTGTATTTTTTATTCTTGGCAACTTTTCTATCGATGAACCTAGTGGTCAAACGTATAGCTTGTATGGTACCAGTTACATCAGCAGGTATGGTTTGCCTACAAAATTAGCCATCTGGTGGTTTGAGAGAACAGGGAGGCCTGGGATGGAGTCAAACTCCCAGCCTGAATTATGCACTGATAACAGTACAAGCAAAGAGGAAATGCAGACTGGAAGACAGAGCTTGTACAGTTCATTCTTTATTCAACAAAGAAACACAAAGGTTACAACCAAGGGTCAAAACCAGAGAACGTTCAAAACAAGCAAAAAAATCTGATGGCAGGTAAATATACTGAGGTGATTACAAATGGAAAACAAGTCAAACAGAAAACAAAAGGACAGGAAGTACAAACTAAAATGGATGCATAAGTAATAAGGAAGAAGAAAGAAAGCAGTTTCAAAATAACACAGGAAGTAATAACAGGGAGTCAAGAGTTGACATTAATATTGCTTTCCACCTCTGGAGACAGTTGATGGTGAGTGAAGGAATGAAGTTTGATGCTGAACTGACAACACTTCCTCCAGACTGGTTAGTCAGATAAAATGGCTGTACAACAGGGTGAACAGGTAATAACTCAGAAACAGTAAGTTGTAACACTTGAAAGTGAAAGTGACACATTTTGTGAGACATTTCATCAACATGGAGTACAAGGGTTCAGATAAAAGACTGAGGACTCAGAGGAAACGAAACATGACACTACTCTGTGAGAGTTTCCATCAATGCCACTACACCAGGACTCTGCACTGGCTTGTTATAGACAGGACTGTGACTTCTCCAGGGAGTATCATTACACAGTTTACACAGTCCCTCCTCCCTTTACTTGCAAGTCACATTTTGTTTGTTGCAGCCATCAGCCATGAGGAGAAATGTAATGTTCCATTTTCGATCAGGCTTACTTCACCCAGCCAGAGAACTGTTCCTCAGGTGGTGTTATCTAAACGCTCTGCCATGTTTTGTTTTATTTAGATATTAAATAAATAAAGGAAGGAGGAAGTAAATGTAGAAAAAAACACTCTGGTGTCAGTTGTGAGTGGTCAAACTGCACCATCTCTCATTGCAGTGCATCATTTAGTGGAGGGACACTAGCCCCTGTATGAAACCGCATGACAACTGAAACCCTGTGTTGAAAAGAAGAGGTCAGAGGCCACAAACAGACACACAAACTATATTATTATATTTTAACTTTATTTGGACAACTGCTCTCACCTCCAAAGCATTTTTACTCACTTATCAAGTAACAATATTGTATAGACCTGAGCTACTTTAGCCACATGTGATGAAACATATTTGTATCATTATAGTCACAGAGGAGGTTTTTTTTCATTTGTGTGAAAGGGACAAGTGAGGAGATGCCAGATGCAGCCGTCTCACACGTTATACAACAACTTTTGCTACAACACGCAAATTATGTACATGTAAAGGTCCTTCCCTGAGTAACATTTTTTTTTTACTTGTTTGTTTTTATTTTACCTCTCAGTTGTAAAACACTGTGATCTTTGTTCTAACAGGAAGTAACCAGGAGAGCAGTGAGACCCAGCAGCAGAGGGAAAACACTGTGACGGTCCAGGCTGAATTACAGAAGCTGGTTGGAGCATCGATGAAGTAAACACCATCAATCAAAGCGGATATGCTTTTCACTTGAGGAAGAAGTCCACAAACATTTGCAGACATACAGCCACGATAAGGAACATTTTGCTTCCCAATTGTCACGATGGAGGACAAAATCATTTCTCTGTTAGACTTCAGTTTTGTACTAAAATTTTAAATAATCTCAGAAAGAGGAAATAACGCTTGAAGGAATTAGTAGAATGTTTTGTGAGCCAGTGTGTGATCAATGTGCAGCTCACCAGTTCGATTAATGCAGCGGTCCTCTGCACCCACACACTCCACTGTGTTGTTACAGACATCACTTTGAGGATCATGAGAATCAGAGCAGTTGAAACACTGCAGGCCATTTTTTTTCTGTCTGGAACATGGACTGAAATTGAATGAGAGACTCAAGAAACTTAATGAGACAGTGACAAGTGACAACAGAAAGTCTTTGATTTTCTTATTGTTCTTCGCTGTGTTCATGATGTACTGATGTTTTCTTTCTCTGACATTTCTTTGTCTACTTACAAGGGAAAGTTTTATTGTTGCAGCCATCTGTGTTGCAGCAATGAACAGACCCAGTAACAGAATCAGTACCATAACATACTTAAACACAGAAACATCCAGATAGTTTCAGACATATCTTAATAAATGTCATTCAGTTCATGTTCTTCCACATTCCTCTCCCAGCTGATGCACATTTGATCTAAAGTGAAACCTGGTCCCTCACAGCCTCCTCTCTGTGTATATGGGTGCTGGGATCACTGACGTGTTTGGTGCTCGGTGGGTTTTCTTTTTCATAAACATTGAGGTGGCTGATCAGAAAATGGTCACATTGGCCGGAAGACACGGACAAATGACCGAGTTAGGTTGTTTTATTTTATCCACTTGGTATCACTACTTTACTTCACACTTTAGGACAAACAATAAAACAACAGTTGATTCCAGACAGAGGTTTTATATATCGAGAGTTACAAATATAACTATGGTTCTATGAATCCTGGATGACCGCCAGAGGCGATGCTTCAAACATTGGATCTTCTGTCTCGCCGATGCGCAGGTTGAGTATTTAATATCAATAAAGTCAACTGTGACCCCAGGTGACCCGAGAGAGGGTATATCCTCCAATGTCATCAGGGAACGAGTTCCTACCAAACCTTCTCACGAGGATTCTGAGTGGCTGAACACTCTAGCGGCAGCACATATGGCCTCTAGGGGCACTCCCTTCAGGGCTGCCCATGACATTGAGACACTCCTGGTAGAGTGACACTTCACTCTAGACTGCTCGGCGGCCAAACGCACAGTTGGAGGCAGCAAGGATTGGGATACCAAATCTGACCGCCTAATTGGGATAGGAGATCCATCCTGTCAGGGAGGCGCCACGGCAGCAGAGCCTGCGCAGCTGCAACCTGGTTCCTTTGCCCCAGCAAATACATCGTGCCCATGTCAGCAGGTACTGGGATACCTGCAGCAAGTGTGCTGATTTGGTTGATATGCCCTGCACCCTCCCGTGCAGACCATTGTGTTTGTACCGTCCTGTTCTGCCACACTCTTTGTTGTTTTGACTTTGTTGATATTAAATACTTGACGTGCGCATACGCGAGACGTAAGATCCAGTGCTTGAAGCACCGCCTCTGGCGGTCAGGAAGGATGAATAGAACTGCAGGCTGCTTTTATATGCAGCATTAGGCTGCAGTTTATTTCCAGGAGATTTGGGTCTTACCTGTGCAGAGTCTGAGTCACTGATCATGCGATCTGTCCTTGTGAGCTGAGGCTATTCTGTACAATGAAATTACAATAACACAGAAGCTAAAGATAAAAGGCCACCAAGGAGTTACAGCATATTACTGTACACAGCACACACAGTCAGTATCAACAGTAAGCTTCATTAGAGAAATTCAAAAATTATACAGTAAAATTAAAATAAATTAAAGTTTACAGCAAAACAT